CACATACATATATATTACATATGCACAGATAGGCTTTATGTTTTATAACCTTTTGATGTTTTAAGACATTTCTGTCTTTCTTTTATTTTAAAATGTTATTAATGAGGGCACCTGGGTGGCTCAGTGTGTTAAATGTCTGCCTTCAGTTCAGGTCATGATCCCAGGATCCTGGCATCAAGTCCCACATCAGGCTCCTTGTTCAGCAAGGAGCCTGCTTCTCCCTCTGCCTGCTACTCCTCCTTCTTATGTTCTCTTTCTCTGACAAATTAATAAAATATTTAAAAAATGTTATCAAGAACTATCTAGGTAGCAGCATAATAGGTTGCTTTAATTTTTTTCTAAATTCAAAATATATATCTATTTTAAACTCTTTGTGCCGTTTTTATATTACACCGTTGTTATAGAAAAATAGGGCAAAATACAATTTTTAGAAATTTACAGAGGTTATGTATGCTTACTTAAATGATCCAGAAATAATAAGTAGAGTCCTACCATATGGGATACTGTGCTCTCTGTGATGTTCCTGGAAGTTGTCCAATGCAGTGGGCCAGCTTCATTAACCCTCATTCATTAACCCTTACCTCTCAAAGAGATAATTCTCAAAGAGATAACTATTCTCAAACTTGGATGTATATCCTACCAGAATTTTTTCTATCTACTTCATATGTGTGTGTGTGTGTGTGTGTGTGTGTGTGTGTGTGCATGTGCGTGTGTAAACTGATAGTTAAGGATCTTTGTAACTAATAATTGGATCATTTTGCAATTCATTTTTTCTCTTGGTAATAAATGTCATATTTGTGTTCTGAACACTAAGATCCAAGTCATTATTTTTAATAGCTACATGGTCTTCTACAGAATGGCCTTCCATATTTTACCAGTCTCTGGTGGACTTAGGTTGTTTCTGATCTTTTTTATACAAATAATGCTGCATGAAGTTATACCATGGATTTAAGATAATTGCTTGATTTTCGTTGTCAGATTAAAGAAATACCTAATTCCTAGGTTAAGCATTTGGTGAATTATAAAAGTTGAGATTTCGTTCACTTGGTCAGGCGTAAGAGGTCTTACTTCTATAATTAGTCTAAACATGTGAAGTGATTTTGGAGAAATGGACCCACTCAAAAGCTAAGAAAACATAACTAACCAAATTACTTAGTGTCCTGAAAATGTGACTATTTCCCTTAAAGTGCCGAAATTATTCAACAAGAAGAGTACACTCTTCTTGGTAAATGACACTAGCTTTTCATGATACATCATCAAACATGAACCAGAACTTTTCAGTTTTAGTATCATATACCCTGTGTTTCAGCTTCCTCAGAATATGTAAATAAGTCCAGCACTTCCCTGTCTGAAGAGAAAATCAGTTTACCTCTCTGCTGTGATTCATCTTTCATGGTCCCAACATGGCCACCGAAGGACCCCTCAACCCCACTCTAATAACTTCTTAGTTCAATGCCCCCAATATCCTCTGGTTTACTACCCTGTGGGCACGGATATAATAAATTACACTTATTATGTATATGTACATGTATATGTGTACAGGGTTGGAAAATTCTTGAGGATAAGTGTAGATGATATTTCCAACTTTATATCTCTTACCCATAGAGTAGGTACTAAATAATAATGACTATATCTTTTCCTTTGAGAAAAATAGTTTAAATGAATTTACTCAGAAATTGTCTTTACTGATTAAACTGGTAAATGTTAACAAAAGTTGCAATCTCATACATACACTGCTGATGGGATATTTGGCAATCTGTATCTAAAGCTTTAAATATACATACAACTCTTGGGACACCTGGGTGGCTCAGTCAGTTAAGCGTCTGCCTTCAGCTCAGGTCATAGTCCCAGAGTCCTGGGATCGAGTCCCACATCAGGCTCCTTGCTCAGCCGGGAGCCTGCTTTTCCCTCTGCCCTTCCCGCCACTTGTGCTCTCTTTCTGACAAATAAATAAAATCTTAAAATACACACACACACACACACACACACACATACACACACACACACACCACACGCAGCTCTTTCCACTTCTAAGAATTCATCTACAGGAAGTGATCATGAGTATTTCCAAGGCTTTACATTTAAGGTTCCTAGGCACAGTATTTTTTATAAGAAAAAAATGGAAATGACTTCAATGTTTATCAAAACTGAAGTATGGATAATACATAAAATGGAATCTCATGCAGCTAATAAAAATATTTCTATGACATGGAAAAATAGTGTCTATTAAGAGGAAAAAAAATTAACTCTCTGAAGTAATGAGTCCAAATGACTAGGTGCAGTAAGCGCTATTTAATTAAAATAGAAGAAGTGAAATTGAAAGTAAAGAGACAAATATGGCAATAGGGCTCTCTCCAGGTGGTGGATTTATGGATGACCTTTTTATTCTTTGTGCTGGAAGAATCTCTTTCTGATACATAGACTATCTATTTTGCCTTTTTTTTTTAAAGATTTTATTTATTTATTTGTCAGAGAGAGAGAGGGAGAGAAAGCGAGCACAGGCAGAGAGAATGGCAGGCAGAGGCAGAGGGAGAAGCAGGTTCTCTATTTTGCCTTTTTTTAAATTAAAGATTTTATTTACTTATTTGACAGAACAAGTGTGTGTGCACATAAGCAAAGGGGGAGGAAGTTGGAGGAGAAAGAATCTCGAGCAGACTCCACGCTGAGTGTGGAGCCCAACTTGGGGCTCCATCCCATGACCCTGAGGATCATGACCTGAGCCTAAACCAAGATTTGGATGCTTAACTGACTGAGTCATGCAGGTGCCCCTATTTTGCCTTTTACAGAATAAAACCTACCAAACATATTTGTGGAATGAATAAATCCATATTATCTTTCTTTGGCCATATAAAAATCTGAGATCTATATCAACAATTTACCTTTTTTTTGTTTGTTTGTTTGTTTTTTCGTTTCCTAGAAAATGCTGGCCTGCAAGGCGGCCAAGTTTCATTTTGAACTTTCCCCTATGGAATCAACATAGAATATCAATGTTCTAGGGAACAGGGACTCCACAGATTTCCTACTCTGTGGGCTCAGCACATAAATGTTCAGAACCGAATGTGGGAGGTTAGTTACGCAGATGAAATAAGGACAACATACTGTGTAAGTCAAGAGGTCGTAAAGAAAATCAGAAAGCGAGGAAGAAATGATTCTTATATTCGTATGTTGTTCTCCTCAGGTAAGTCCCTCAAGTAAATGCTCATGGCGCCTGCCCTCGGTTTCGTCACATATGAAAGAGATGACCGACAATTCTGAATAAGCAGTCTTGGAATGTCATATTGAGGTTAAGACATGAACTGCGGAATCCCACCCATGATAACACAGTATAGAAATTTCAAAGGCTTCTGATACAAAGTAAGTGACTACAATGACACGGTAGGAAAAAAAAAAATATGAGACTATTTTTAAGGAGATTAATCTGAATCCATATGTACACAAATGCAGACCCTGGGAAGGAGCTGCCCTATAAGTACAGACATTTCTTCAGCACAGACCTACAGGCGCCCACATCCCTTCTCAGCAACTTTTGGACTTGATGGACAGTGCTTGACACAAAGTAGGAACAGGACAAACTATTTCTTTCCCTTTTCTATTCCAACTGCCCATTTCTCTGGAATGAATTCGAGAGTTCCAGCTGAAAAGTAACCCATGCAGAGGGAAAGAGACTTGTAAGTTTTTGGCCATGTTTATTTATACAGCCATTTCTAAAATGTATCAGGGATAGCGCACTGCCCACGTTCAAGTATGGGGAAGATGGCGTAATTCATCTGCTGATGTCCTAAAAGCATACTGTAGGTTTTTCGTGTCTCTTCTTATCCACTTACCCAGCCCCACGGCGTCCCACCCAGACTCTTTTTTGTGCTTTTATATCCGCTACAGTATGTTCTGGCTTCTAATATAGGCTTTCTTTTTAAATGAAAAGCAGAGGAGGAGGAGGAGGAGGAGGAAGGAGTCTTTACTCTGGATTTGGTAACTGAAAAAAATCCTTACGGTTCATGTCCCTTCTTGAATCTGCAATTGGGTTGGTAAAGCTGAGGATTAGAGAACATCGGCTCTTCAGAGATGCAAGCAGTATTAACAAACAAACAAAAAAACCACCACAGTATAACCCCCAAATCCCCAAACAAAACCAGGATGTGTTCCAGCATACTACAGAAGTAATACTCGTATCAATAGCAGACATACATGTGTGTGCACATTTCCGAGCCTTCCTAGGTCACGTGCTGTAAGGGTCAGTCCTTCACAACAATGCTGTGAGGGAGGCAGTAGGAGCATCTTCACTTTACAGGCCAGAGAATGAGGGTTTGAGAGGTTGTCACTGTCCCAAGGTCACCCAGCCAGGAATAGAGACTTAGAATTTGCACCCTTGGTTAATTTGACATAATCATTGTTTCCTTAGGGCTCAAGAGACTGAGAGTATAGAGCATCTTAGTCTTCTTTTAATGTTCTTGGCTTAACTGATGGTTACAAAAAGTTAGCATGTTAGGGTATAAGCAAAATCTTATGATTTGGTCTGGGTTTTTATTTCTCCCATTGATTACCTTAGTGAAACCAAAGATGGTCTCCTGTGGATGGACGAGTGGGATTTTTTTGGGCAACTGAACTCTCTGGTGGATTTGGAAGAAAATCCAGAAAATCCATGTTGATATATGAGTTCACTTTAAAATTTTTAGGGATACCAAATGATATCTATGGTTCCATGTTACTTATGTCCTTTCTCCCTTTGGATGACGATGTAAGTAAATCCTTCACAGACGTATTTGCAAAAATTGATAAACCATACAAAATTACAGTATTTTAAAATAAGAAAGAACCTTAAAGATAATCCAGTCTTGCGCTCTCATTTCTTCCTAGGAAACCTGAAGCTCCTCTCTATCCTTGAATTCTTTGAGGCTACGGGAGTTGGCAGCACTGGTAGGAACATTTTTTTTTTTTAGCGATTGGTGAAATATTTTATAATCCTCTAATTTAGAACTTCTGTACTCAAATGTTTAACTTACCTCCAAATCCATCAGGCACATATGTTTTAAGAACAATATTGCAGAAAATGGTTGGCAGTGATAATGGTTTATTTCCCTCGTTTCGAAGGGAAATGTGTCGATAACCTGCTTGGAGGCCATCCAGAGGAAGGATCCTCTGGCCTATGAGCCTGTTGTTGTCGTCATACACTGCTATTCTCAAGACTGCCAGGTCAGGGAGGATTACCTGCAAACAAAGAATGGTACCTTTCAGGGGTATTTTGGAAAGCTGTCCCCAAGAGCCCTGACTCGAGGAATCTGAACCATACCCACGCTGTCCTTAAATGTGCCTTTATGGTGAAAAGAAGCCCAAGATCGATTTGGATTCCTGAAGGATACTGTCCAAGCTGCGGTATCCAAGCTGTTGAGAAAGCAATTGAACAGGCTTCCTGGAAATCATCTCTTTGAAAATTTTAGATGAAAGGGATGTGAACGATTACCAGTCCAACCCTTGTCATCTTTGCCCATCCCCATGCATAAAAATGGACAAACAAAAGGAGGCCCCGAGAGATCAAGTGACTTTCCTTAATCTCTGAGATCAGAACAGCTGGGCCTGGAATCGGGGCCCTTGCCTTTGAATCCTGTGGTCTGCCTCCTACCTGGGCTGCTTCTCTGCTTTTTAGCTTGGCCTGTTTTTGAGAATATGGAAAGTATCTTTGAAGAAATGTTCCGCGTATAAAGGACAACGTACACAGAAATTTGGATTTTTCCCTTTTCCTTGCACTCCCAATATTTTGGGATATTAAATAGAGTGAGATGGGGCAGCTAGAAACATTAACTTATATCTAAGACATCTACTCTTGCTATCTTCAAAATAAATAAAAGGACATAAAATCTGAGCTCAGCCAGCAGAATCCTAATTCAGATATAAAATAGCAACAGGACACAAGAAAATCCCATGTTGTAAATCAGGAATGACTTTTCATTGGCTAAGAACAACGAAGACATCTTGGCTAGTTTGAGTACTGTATCTAAGGCTAGACAATGGATCGGTTGTCTAGTTCTGCCTAGAGATTATAATTTAATCGAATTTCAAGATGATGAAGAGGAGAAATCAAGTTCAAATTCATCCATCTTCATTTGCGCTATCGTTTCTCATGTGGGTAAAAGGGGGCTTGCCTTGTGAGATCAGTGCAAAGACCAAAAATATTAAAAACAAGAGAGAACAAAAAGTGAAAGCACTTGGTCCTGATGAAAAGCAATTTAACTTCTGAAAAACAGTGAAGGGTGTAGAACTGGCATCTTGTTTCTGGGGCCAGTAATCCTATATGTAAAAAACCAAGTCTGATGTCTCCTCACTCATCAAAAACAATGAATGTCTGAAGTCAACTTTCTGAATTTCTAGAAATGTATCTAGGGATTATTCATGCCGCCAAAGAACACTGGCCACACCGACAACAGATCCAGCTATAAAAAGCCATTAAAAAAAAAAAAAAAACTGGTGGAAGAAAAAAGGCCCTTGACAAGTCATATCCAATTTCCACCACACCCTGTAGGAGAGAAGGTCATGGTGGGGGTTGCATGGAAATAACAGCGCTCACATAACAAGGGGAGCCTGAATCTCATAATGGCTTGTTTCACTGAACTACTAATCTTCTGTAATCTGGTTTCTGAAAACCAGTTAGCCAATTCTGAAACTGCTAATCCTCATTTCTGTTAAGCTAAGAAGCCAAAGATCTGTGTTGGAGGACATGCACACGGAACAGAAACACTGGAAGCCCTGGGCCTGAAGCAGCAGCAAGAAGCTATTCTGGTTGGGATAACAGAGCAAGTGAGAGAGAAAAACAGCTCTACTTGGAGATGGCACTACCAATGCATGGATTTTTCAATACATCTTACACCAACAAATGAGAAACAAAGGGAAAACGTGATTACAAGATAAAAATGAAATCATTATAGAGTATGACTGTGGTCTGTGGATCAAGGTACAATGGTAGGAAACCCCCCCAAAACCCAAAATAGCACATGAAGAACAGACTGTGGGGGTGGCGACGGGTATCACACTTTCTAGAGGTACAGGACAATACCAGCTGAGCTATTTAAGGACATTTATTGGTCTTACTTTTGGGTTCACCATCCTACCTGTCCTCTTGGCTAAAGGAGCATTGCAAGTTACTAGCCACTGCCAGGGCACAAAAGAACTCTCCAGTGTGTATGATGCCCACCAGTGAGGACACATTCTAAGGACCACCCATCTGGAACTTGAGCATTGCCACAGAGAAGATGGGCTCCTTGGAGGAGAAAAGGAGAACCACAAAGACAAGAACAAACAAAAGTAACAATCATACAGCATCTACAGAACTTACCCACTGGAAGAAGAGAAGAAGACAACATTTGGGGTTGTATAACTGTCCCATGTCATGTAGTGTCTATGTACCCTATGCACTAAAATGTGGCCCCTGAGTTAGCACAGCGAGTCTGACACATTGAAAGTACCCTACCTTCCGGAACACAAATGATTCTTCATTGTAAACTGGATTGAGTCCGTTGTTCATTACCATGCGAGTTCGGAATTCCTTACGTATGGTGTCGGTGGGCAACCCATACATATCCACTTCTACGTATGTACCAATTTTCTTATCTGATAAAAACTGACCTGATATGACCTGCAGCAACACAGAAACAGGGTGAGAGAGAAGTCAAGTCTGTGTCATTATCAAGAGCAATGAATAATCCAGAAGAAATTGTCTGTTCATCTTTAAAAATTTTAGTTACCTATGGAAGTAATGTATTCATTCCTTACTAAAACATTATTGAGCAACTACTTTATGCAAAAACAAAAACAAAAAAACAAACAAAAAAACCCTGCTCAAGACAGAGGTTCTGATGTTGAGAACTGTCTATAAAGAGAAGACAGAAATAATGAACCCTATAATAAAAAGAAATAATGTCCACAAGCAGCTTAATTCCACCTAAATGTCCACAAAGTGATGGGTTCAAATATGCCCTAGGATCCCATCAGAGCTCTGAAATTCTGCCCTCTTACACTTTATTAAATTCTTTTATAAGTCTTAGAAAGAGATGCAATAAAAAAGCAATGCTAAAATGCCTGTTGCCTGTTATCCTTTACCGATATCAACAATGGTCGGAGGTATATACTTGCAAAGTCCAGCATTAAATTCCATCTATTATAAAGCCATGGACAGACTATTTTTCATTTACTTTCCAAAGGACTATATAGCCATGTAGCAGGGTTTCTTTCTGTATTATTGAATAGATCATAACTTCCAAAGTTTTTCGAGGTAAAATCTGACATACAATAAACCGTACATTTTAAAGTGTACATACAGTCCATTTTGACGTATGTGCACATGTGTGAAACTGTCACAGTTTTCACTTTTCCAGAATGTCATGTAGTTGCAACCATACAGTACAAAGTCTTTTCATTTGCTTCATTCCCTTAGGAATATGCACGGAAGTTTCCTGTATGTGTTTCCATGACTTGCTAGCTCCTCTCTTGTCAGCACTGAATGGTGTGGGTGCGTCACAGTTTATGTATCCAACACCTAAGGAAGGATATCTTAGTTGTCCAATTTTTGGCAATTTTGAATAAAGCTGCTACAAATACCTCTGTGCAGGTTTTGTGCAGATGCAAGTTTTCTATCCATTTGGGTAAATACCAAGGAGCATGATTCCTGGATTATAGGATAAAAGCATGCTTCCGAAGTGGCCGCCCCATTTTGCATTCTCACCAGCAATGATTAAGAGTTCCTACTGCTCCATATCCTCCAGTAGGTACTTTTTCGATCTGGTGTCTTCTGCTGAATGTAGCTAATAGTTCCACTAGGGAACAAAATGTATCTCTTAGGAAGAAAAGGGGCAACTGCAAAGTTGAGAGCAACAAATGGGCCTTGTAACTTGACATTAAATATTTCAATGTGGCTTCTTCAGGCTTTTCCAGGACCATCCGCAGACATGTTTTTACAGTTCTGAGACAGCAGGGGGCTTACCTGGACTGAGCAAGTGGCCGCAATAACGCCATCGACAGGAGTTTCAGAGAAGGGATCGAATGTTCGATCGGGCCGTCTCATGAAATCTGGTTTGAGGAGGTACCTGGTGGGACCAAAGCAAAGAAGGACTTTATTAGTTGCATTTACAATGACTAACACACTCATGCTTCAGGACACTAAGTACTTCTTTTCTCCTGTCTCTAATTTAAGAGCTAGGGTTTTAGGTAAAGGGGTCTAAAGATTGAAGAAACTATTCCTCTCCTACAGATAATCCTGAAGAGAGGCAGGAAACGAGGAATGCTTTTAGATTCCAGGCTCAGTGATACCAAGCTTCCTGATGCTATTACATTCTCTTGAACTTTTTTATGCCATGGACCTCCTTAAATACTTACTCTCATGCACACAAAATAAAATACAAGGAATAACAGTGAAAAAGCAATTATATGAGCTCTAGTTACTAAAATATGAGAGTAGGGGCACCTGGGTGGCTCAGTGGGTTAAGCCTCGGTCTTTGGCTCAGGTCATGATCTCAGGGTCCTGGGATCGAGCCCTGCATCGGGTTCTCCGCTCAGCAGAGAGCCTACCTCCCGCCCCCCTCTCTTCCTGTCTCTCTGCCTACTTGTGATCTCTATTCTCTGTCAAATAAATAAAATCTTTAAAAAAAAACATAAATACGAGAGTACATGATATCCTACTTTGTGTTTTAATGACTGCATTGAATTATGAGATATGATGCTAAGTTGATAACTATAATTTTAAAGTACTGATATGCATAAAAATATTTTGTGAGATCTGTAGCAGTAGTAATGATACAAAATTATCTGTGATTTACATTGGTAAAGTAAGAGTAAGTAAGTAAGTAAAGTAAGAGTCACAGGTACTGTTAATAGTATTGCGGATTGTTGTCTTTGTTCACAGTGAAAAGAACCATGAAATTTCAAGTTAGAGGCAGGTGAACATAAAGATGTAATTATTTCCCTATTTCTAGCTAGTGCCATTAGGCAAGAAAATGGAATAAAAGGTATCTAGATGGAAAGAAAGAAGTAAAACTCCTCTTCACAGATGACATGATCTTGTATATAGAATATACTTAAGGAATTTACCTAAGGAATCTACTAAAAAATGATCAGAGGGGTGCCTGGGTTCAGTTGGTCGAGTGTTTAACTATTGGTTTTGGCTCAGGTCATGATCTCATGGGTCATGAGATCGAACCCACACTGGGTTCCACGCTCAGTGGGGAGTCTGCTTGAAGACCCTCTCCCTCTGCCCCTCCCCTAGTTCATGCTGTCTCTCTTTGTAAAATCCTTCTAAAATCTAAAGAATATATATTTTTTAAAAACCCATCAGAACTAATAAATGAATTCAACAAGGCTGCAGGGTTAAAAACCAATATACAGAAATCAGTTGTATTTCTAAATACCAACAATGAACAATCCAAAAACTGAAACTAAGAAGATTCCATTTATCATAGCACCAAAAAGAATAAAATACTTAGGATTAAATTTAACAAAATAAGTGCATGTAGTTTGAAAGCTACAAGACACTGCTGAAAGATGTTAAAGAAGATCTAAGTAAATGGAAAGACATCTTGTGTTCATGGATCAGAAGACTTAATATGGTTAAGCTGGCACTATTCACGAGATTGATACACAGATTCAATCCCTATCTAGATTCCAACCGGCTTCTTTAGAAAGTGACAAGCTGATCCTAAAACTCAAGGACCAAGAATAGCCAACACATCCTTGAACAAGAAAAACAAAATTGAAGTTCTCCTATTTCTCAATTTCAAAACTTTCTACAAAGCAACAGTAATCAAGGCAGTGTGGTATTGGCATAAGGATGCACACATACATCAATGCGATGGAACTGGGAATCCAGAAATAAATGCATGTATCTATGCTCAGTTGGTTTTTGACAAGGATGCCAAGATTATTCAAAGAGGGAAGAATATTCTTTTAAATAAATGTTGCTAGGACAACTATAATGGCCGCATGCAAAAGAAAACTGGTCCCTTCCCTCACATCATATACAAACTTTAACTCAAGATGGACCAAAGACTTAAATGTAAGAGCCAAAATGATAATTTTTTTAGAAGAAAAATAAGGATAAATCTTCATGACTCGGCAATGGGTCTTAGACATAACATCAAAAGCATAAGCAACAAGAGGAAAACAAAAAGATAAAATTAGCCTTATCATAAAAACCTCTGCACTTCCAAGGACAATATCAAGATAGTGAAAAAACAAGCTATAGGATGGGAGAAAATATTTGCAAATCACATACTGATAAGAGGTGTGTGTCTACGGTATCTCAAAAACAACCCAGTTGACAAGAGGGCAAGTGATCTGAATACGTATTTCTCCAAATAAGAGAAACAAATGGCCAATAAGGACATGAAAAGACGCCTGGTATCATCAGTTTTGAGAGAAATGCAAATCAAAATCACACTGAGCTGTCACTACACACACATTAGGACGGTTATAGTAAAAAGTCAGATAACACTAAGTATCATCAAGTTCATGGAACAAATGGAACCCTCAGACACGGCTGGTGGGAATGTGAAATGACACCAGGACAGTCTGGCAGTTCCCCAAACAGTTAAACAGAGGTGCCATGTGACCCAGCAATTCCACTCTTAGTAAACACTCAAGAAAAATGAAAATACATCTACACAAAAACTTGTCTGTGAATGTTAGAGCAGCATTATTCCTAATAACCAAAAGATGGAAACAATCCAAATGTCTATCAATATATAAGTGAATATATAATATGGGGCATACCCACACTATGAGAAATGACTTGGTAGAAAGAAATGAAGTACTGATATGTGCTACAGCATAAACCTTGAAAGCTTAATGCTAAGTGAAAGAAGCCAGTCACAAAGACCACATACTACATGAATTAATTCCTATAAAAGGTGCTGTCTGTACAAATACAGAGAGACAGAGAGTAGACGGTGGCTGCTTATGGCTGCGAATAGGGAGCAGGGGTTACTAGGAGGTGATGGCTAAAGGGTATGAGTTTTCTTTGTGAAGTAAGGAAAATGTTTGGAAATTGACCCAACTCCACAATGTCTGTCCCTTATCTCCTTTGGTTACAGTCACATAATCAGACCTCAGCCAGATTCCATAACTACCCTGAACTTGTATCAGACTTGATCTAAGAAAAAAAATTTTGTTTTTACAAAGGACTATAACCACAGGTAGGAAAAGTCCATCCTAACCTGAACAGCAGATAAAGGACAATAAACGTACTTTCCCCCAAACTATGGGTTTACTTTTAAGTATAAAAGAATCAAAATTGGAGTGATCAAGTCTTTCCTATTCTTTAGGAGTGTAACTTTTACTGATTTTAACTCTAGATGCTGTCAAATTTATTATCTTTTAAAATCCAACAGAAAGGATTCTGGGGCGTGACTTTTCTCCTTAAAGACAAACTCCCAAGTTCCATTTTTGTGGTTTTGACAAAGTTGTCATTCGTTGTCATCTTCTAAGTTTGAGCAAAAAAAGTGTTAAAATAACCACACATTCAACTTAGATGTAATCATCAGTAAAGAACCTCCAAGGACAGCACTGATTTTAAATTGTGAGAGTTACAGAGTTTTCAGAATCATTCAAATATTAAAGATGATTTTGAACTTTCACCTGTCTCCAAGAGAATGTAACCCTAAATATTAATTTAAAATTTAACTGCACAAAACACATGGTTTCCTATATTTACAGTTTTAGATTTGGGACTCCCCCCTTTTTTGTGGCTAGTGTTAGACACTGGAAAATATGATGATATGGCAAAAATTGAAGTCTTAGAATGGAAAGTAGATGAGAAACTACACTATTAACACACACTACTTCAAGCGAAGCCTACCAGCGTTGACAAAATATCGGCCGTTAGCTTCAAGGGGATGTAAGAGAGGATGGTTCTGGCACTCACAAGAAGGGGAACATGGATTCCAGTTGCATGGAATGAGGTATTTGCCTCCTGAGAAAAGCAGGGGCAGGGGCTCTCTGGAGATTCCGTACTCTCCATTCCCCACAGGCATTTCTGAAGGGACCTTTCTCACCAAAAATAAAAAATTGTGATGCTGATGATTTCTTGGTGCCCAAAACATTCTTCCATGTTCCTTCCTTCCACATTGGCTTAGAAGAAAACTCCTCTGTGAGAGCGTGAACCAATACAAAATAAGAAGTGCCAGGAGAAAAGGGCAAGAAACCGGAGTCCAATTCTCCAAGGCAGGCAGCCTTCAGTGTAATGTATTGATCTTATATACTTAAAAAATAATAATAAATAAAAGAAAGCATGGAGAAGTTTGACAGGGCCAGGAGGTAAGTCCTGGCTTGGGGGTGACACTGAGCCAGCTTATCTTGAAGGGGTGTCTGCTTGGGGCCTGTGGGGACCTGCGGATGCAGCAGAGGCCGCCACTCACTGGTGCCCGTGCAGGTCCAGGGAGCCCCGGTCATCAGTAGGACCTGTGTCGTTACACAGTGCTCTGAACTTAGAAGAGTTTTGTGCCTAGTTTAATGCTCTGCAGCTACTGTCTCGAAATGCTTAAAAATTTGTGAACAAGGGGTCTTTATTTTCATTTTGCACTGGGCCCCACAAACCAACCATAGCTGGTCCTGCCTGGTGTTTTTTGGTACAGAAAATAAATTCATTCCAAGCACCCAGGTCTGTGTGGTGGACTTGGGCAGAGACCAAAGCCAATGACAAGTGAAGGGAGCCTTTGTAGGGTCCTGGAAGGCAAGAGAGGAAGAAAAGAAGGGCCTTCAGCCAGGTGGGTGGACAGAAGCCATAAGAATCAGAGGATGGAGTCATAAGGAAGGACAACCTATTTCATCACACCCAAGATGGCGCCAATTGTTCAATACTCCACCATCTTCTCTACCAGCAGGAAAGCAAAACGGCTGATTGTAACTATAAGACCGTCATGGATTTCAAGACACATTTCACCCTGAGAAAGTTCTACAAAAAGTATGCATCTTCGGATCCTAAAACACCCTACTATGTTGGTCTCAGCCATGCCAATTTCCTCTGAAAGTATGCGGACTTCAGAAATTAACTTGCTCTGTCTTGTTTCCTTGGGAATTATACAAATGCCTTCCATTTTTATACCTTTAGAAAGGAGTCTGTCATGAACTACCACTCACTTTCCTACTGAAAATCACACTTACTGAGCTCAGGGGCACAGCCTTCCAAAAGATCAGCCTGGAGAGCAGACAGGGAGTCCCGGGCAGGTTCCCAGTGTTTTGTTAGCATTGGTGGATTCAGAGGGTCTGCATGTGCTTTGCAACACTGCTGTTCTCTATACAACCACTACCGTTTGCCACCCTAAGCCTAAATGGTTCAGAAGGCCTCTGTACACCAGCCCTCAGACACGCCAACAAGGAGTGTTTAACAAGTCCCTGCAGGTGGGTGGGTGAATGACAAAGGCAATGTAGGGAAAGCCAGAGCATCCTAGACACCCTCGCTCCCCGGAAATACACCTGCGTGGCCAGCCCCGTATTAACCAGCTATGACCGCTCCATCGCCGAGAGTGATGGGATCGAGAAACACAGCTGAGGAAGACTCCTTCCCTCTTCCCTGCCTGTGACAAACTCTGCCTCCAGGAGGGGAAAGGGAAGGGTGGGGGATGGTGACACATGACAGAACATGACTGTCAAGGGCTCTTCAAGGCGGGGCGCCCCACTGCACAATCCTATTTTCCTAGTCCCTCTGGTGGGACGTAGGTTTTTGGTCACATCACTCCAACACGTCAGCATGGAATTCGGGCTCCAGCAGCACCGTGCTTGTCTGGGAACACATTTTAGAATAAGCAGTGGTGCCTAAAGGGAGACACTGATCATGTGAACCCGGGTGAAACAGGAAGAGAAAGGAACAGAGGGCACGCATACAGCTCCTGGTGGGACCTCGTGACCTGGCAACAGTCCCCCTCCCCGTGGAAGTACTGGCTGTCGGACAGCTGTAGCCAAGAGGGCAAATTTTTAGTGTCACTGGGCCACAAGGGAGGCTCTGAGGAGGGAGCGCCGCAAGGGGTCGGGGTGTCTGGTGTGAACCAGGACGGCTGGGCTTCAGTGTGAGCTGTCATCCCCACACCACCGCTGTCCCCCGCAGCCTCGCTGCCTCAGTTTTGCCTCCATCAATTTATGTGCACCATCTCCTGGTGATGAACGCTGTGCACTAAATACAACAGAGCTGTAAAGAATTCTAAAATGCAGGAGCACCTGGGTGGCTCAGTCCACTGAGCATCTGTGTTGGGCTCAGGTCATGATCCCGGAGTACCAGGATCGAGTCCTGCATCGGGCTCCGTGCTCAGTGGGGAGATGGCTTCTCTCTCTGCCCCTCCCCCTCACTCGTGCTCTCCTCTCTCTCTCTCCCTCTTGCTCAAATAAATAAATAAAATCTTTTTTCTTAAAATATTTATTTATTTGACAGAGAGAGAGACAGTGAGAAAGGGAATATAAGCAGGGGAAGTGGGAGAGAGAGAAGCAGGCTTCCCGCTGAGCAGGGAGCCCGATGAGGGGCTCCAACCCAGGACCCTGGGATCATGACCTCAGCAGAAGGCAGATACTTAATGACTGAGCCACCCAGGTACCCCAATAAATAAAATATTTGAAAAAATAATTCTAAAAATGTGTATTTGGCAGTTTTCTTTTGAATTACATAGCTTTTACTTCTTTCTGTAATTGACATAGAACATATTAGTTTACGGTGTAAGACTTTGATTTCTTTCAAAGCACACAGCAGAGGAAAACATAACATATGTGCCAGCGATGCATGTGGGGGTCACTCATGGGTGGAGGTACACGGGTGGAGAACCGTCTGGCAGGAGGAAGAGGGGCGAGTGTGCACTCTGAACCTGTGACAGCTGAAAAATGTTATCTTGGCTGGCTGTTCTTAGTGATAAAATTGAGGTATTCAACCAGGGAGGCTTAGAATTTCCTGACAGTAGTATTATGGATGGGATGGCACTCCACGGGATTAATTTAGAGGCTCGGGGACAGATGCATGAAGGAAAAAAAAAATATGGCCACACTGGTTTTCTTCTCCACAGAATTTAACTTCACATTTTCACTTAACCTTTCCGTGTTGTGTTCCACATTACAAAATTAGGAAATCAACATTTCTCATTTTACTCCTTGGTTCACAGATGTTAAAGAACGCCAGTTAAGTAAACTAGAACAATATTCATAGCATTATTTTTTGATAACCACTCTTTACAAGACATGCAAAAGAATCAAGACAGGAAAGCTTTCTTTCTAGGTGTATTACATTCAAATTGACATTCATAACTTCCTTCCATACTAAATCAACTTCATTCCTCTGTGTGTCTTAGGGAAAATACATATACTTATTATCTATGTTTCCAGTTAACGTCCAAATGAGCAGGGATCATTATTTGTCGTAGCTATAAAAACCTCCACCCTTGAATTTAAAGCAAAGGAATTAAACTCGAGTGTGTATGATAAACTGCTTAACTTATGGTTCAATTTTTAGGGGGACAATTCTGCTTAATAAACTGTTTAGATGAAAAACGTATACTTACAAATACAATCTATCTAGGGATTTCAATTGTTTCTATCCAATCCCTCAAACTCAGCTTAAATTGAGCAGCCCTTAATTAAAAATGACACAGTTCCATTACAGCTGTAGTATGGGTTCAGGAACACAGTGACAACAGTTTAAATCATATTACTCACCCGCAGGATCCATTATACTCAAATTTTCCCTGATTCAATTGCATCGCTAAATCTGTCAAGAGACGAAAATAATTTAGCATCTCATCTCCCTGCACAAAGAAGACCACGATGGGTGATTTTAAACAATGGAAGTCAGATACGGATCCTAGACTGAAAGGTCTTTTTTAACATTTCAAGTTACGTGTGGGTCTGTTGAGCGCACACGATCCTCTTCCCTGTTGAAATCATCTGTGTTTAAGTCAAACATAAAATGTGTTTTCATAAAGATCATGCTAGAATTGCATTAAAAATTGGATTCAACATATGAGTCAAATGATTGTCCAATCAGTGTTGAAATTATAGGTGTCCAACTGGGGAGAATGTGCCTTACAGTCACAGAGGAAGGATCGGCTGTGGACATTCCAGGAAGGTCATAGGAGTACAAACTCGATTAAAAACAAAAAAAATAATCCAGGTAGTATCATGGAAAAATTAGTGGCTTGCTCCTACTTTTAAACCTAGGGAGAATTCTTCTAGCAGTGTCTATGCTGGCAGGGCATGGCTTGGGATTTTTCGCTCACAAGTGAACACAATCTTCCCTTTTTTCATTAGCAAAACAAAACAAAACAAACAAGCTGGTAGATTTTTTTTTTTCCCTTCTTCAGCATGTTGTGGTTGATCCTAATGTTATAGAATAAAACACATGCTGACCTAGTGAATAAACTGGTTTAGGATAATTTAATCCATATAATGGACTGACAACTGAAAATACAACTTGACCTCCCCCACTCCCCACCCCCGCTTTTTTTAAAAAGTAAAAGCAGCACTCTATTTTATTTGGTTTCTGCTAGAAATATTATGGGCTTGTACTGGTATCTGGTCATAACAAGGACTGATGGGGATGTTGTGCAGACGTTTGACCCCAGCTTCCAGTCCCTGAGAACTTGTCAAAAGTACTATTGAGCCCACATTTATGGCAAAGGGATGAAAGTCAAGAGGATTTTTGGTCAGGCCAGATAATAGAAAACAAAGTGGATAGAAACTCTCAACGTATGGTGGATGGACTAGAAAAGGAAAATGCCCCCCAAACCAGGAAACATGGGAGGCACCGCCTTATACAGCAAAGGACTGAACAAGAAAATGTTCTTGTTTTGCCAACTTTAATGACCAGGCTATGGGATTAACCACAGCATGTGAATGGTTTTGTGGCATATTTCTTACCTCTTTTAGGTAAACAACTAGAGCCCAGAATTTTTCTACCTCTGATCTTAAAATTGTGATACTTGGCTCTTAAGCAGACTTTAAAAACTTGAAAAAAATTGTTTATGCATTTTAAAAATTCACTCCTCTCCTTCCAGGGAGGGGGAAAGATCATATATTGGAAGCCTGCCTTTGAATACACTTTGGAGGACCAAGTTACGGATTAGTGCCTCTAAGAATATATAAATCCTTACACACTGTTTTAGTGGAGTTTACTCTTGAATATTCTGTACTTTTATGATGAGATGCTGTGTTATTGATACCTGCTGAATGTTAACAGGGAGAAGGGTACTTTATAAAGGAGAAATGAGTCATAGTTCCTGACAGAGATATTCAGATTTTTCTCATTTAATTCTGTCTCTGGGAAAGAAGATAAATTTGATCTGAAAAGAAGAAAAATTAAAAATATTTTGGAAAAGGGGACAATGTTTGGCAGATTAGTTGTGGTATTTATGAAAGGAAATTCAATTTAAATCAAAATATTTTGTCTTCCACCCTTTACAGGGCTCTATTTTTGGTGTTTCGTATCTCACCATTACATAAATCCAACATCACATTGTTTTGCCATATGTCTCCTTCCTTTAAAAAAAAATGCCCACGGCCAACGGATGGCAATGGTTGGCACCATCCTGTCAAAGTGTTCTCCTGGAATTTGAGGTCACTGGACATCAGTTCCTACCTGGGGTTTGATAGTTCAGTGAAACCATCTGGCAGCCAGCATTCCAGAAAATCTGAGGCATGTAATTACTGGAATCGACCCGGCCTCCCTTGGGGTAAATGCGGCTCATTTGCCGTTTGTTATAACTGTGTAACTTATTAAGGAGAATGAGGGGAGAAAAAAGAGTATTCCGGAAGTAATAAATACACAACAAAGGCTAGACCAACAATGATAAACACGAAGCTAACAGACAGGAAATTTCACATGTATGAGTGAGGCTGAGGAGAAAATCCAGAGTTCACTGTGTAAACAATTCACATTTGGGCAGGTTTTCACAGTTGCTGTGGTCTTTCACACATACTATTTTATTAGCTCGACAACCACAATTATCTATTCGCCATTCATCTGTTTCAGAGACTCCCGCCAAACTTAAAGGGCACTGGCCGTTTACTCCATTCACTACGTAAGGATACTTCACAAATTCAATGGCGTGCGTCTTCAAGTAGCCCAGGCCGACGGACTCATTAAAAGAAGACATGTTATAATGAATATTGCGCTCTGTAAAGAAAAATAAAGATGCACTCAGCAACGCTTCCATCCAACCTTGTGGAAAGACAAGCAATAAATGTAATTACATCTCAAATCACAAGGCTTTGGAGGCAGGTGTTCCATTATGTTATCAGTACTGCCTACGTTCATTAATGTCCTGGGGCTGGAGACAGATGACTTAAATAGTGATGGATTAAATCTGGAGTCATGAAACAAATTATGTGTATATGGCCCACACAGCCACCCCCAAGATATGTCTATTTGATGACTAGGGTGGCTTCTCCAGCCCAAAAAACTGATTATGAAAGTTTAAAAATCCTGTGGATATTTCTGGAGGTCTGCTTTTGATCAAAAGGGGTCTTCGTGAAGATCCAAGCTAACAGGATCCAATGGTACGTTAAAAAGATTATCCACCATGACCAGGTGGGATTTATCCATGGGATGCAAGAGTGGTGCAACATTCACAAATCAATCAATGTGATAGAACAAATCAGTAAGAGAAGAGAGAAGAACCACACGGTCTTCTCAATTGATGCAGAAAAAGCATTTGACAAGATACAGCATCTGTTCCTGATTAAGACGATTCATAGTATAGGGATAGAGGGAACATTCCTCAATTTCATAAAATCTGTCTACGAAAAACCCACAGTGAATATCATCCTCAGTGGGGAAAAGCTGACAGCCTTCCCTTTGAGATCAGGAACACAACAAGGATGTCCACTCTCACCGCTGTTGTTCAACATAGTACTAGAAGTGCTAGCAACAGCAATCAGACACCACAAAGAAATAAAAGGTATTCAAATTGGCAAAGAAGAAGTCAAACTCTCTCTCTTCGAAGATGACATGATACTTTATATGGAAAACCCAAAAGACTCCACCCCCAAACTACTAGAACTCAGGAAACTCAGTAATATGGCAGGATACAAAATCAATGCACAGAAATCAGTTGCTTTCCAATGTGGATGGAACTAGAGGGTATTATACTGAGCAAAATAAGTCAATCAGAAAAACAATTATCATATGATCTCTCTGATATGAGGAAGTTGAGAGGCAACTTAGGGGGCTTGGGGGGTAGGAAGAGAATAAATGAAACAAGATGGGATCGGGAGGGAGACAAACCATAAGAGACTCTTAGTCTCTCACAAAACAAACTGAGGGTTGCTGGGGGGAGCGTGGTAGGGAGAAGGTGGTTGGGTTATGGACACTGGGGAGGGTATGTGCTATGGTGAGTGCTGTGAAGTGTATAATCCTGGCAATTCACAGACCTGTACCCCTGGGGCTAATAATACATTATATGTTAATAAAAAAATAAAAAAATATTAAAAAAAAAAGAAATCAGTTGCTTTCTTACACACAGGAAGATCCACGGAACGCAAGAGGCAACACTAAGAAATCTGCAGTACCTCAGAGCCACCCTGTGGACAATGTGGGGAATGGCAAAGCAATCTCGAGGCATGCCAAGGACAGGAGGCTATAGGCACAGTCTGTGACACAAAACACAGTGAGGAGGAACGGGGCTGTGCCCAGGAAAGAAAAATGGCGACAAGTCAGAGCACAGCTCAGCAGCATGACAGAAGAGAAGCAGACCAAAAAAGGCAATAGAATTTAACCTTTGGTGTTACCTTCAGCCACATGGAAACCTTGAAACTTTACGGGTTGTGCATAGTTGATCATTGTAGACAAATACGGATGGATGTTAGTGGTAGCACCTACATATTTATAAGACGCCATCCATGCCTGTTCATCTTCCACGGTCACCAGGCCCTATGAGCACAATGAAAGGAATATACATGTTGAGGACTCAGGTGGGACAGGAACCCGCTACAGACGTCCTCACGAAATACGACCTGCACGCATGAACTGAAAGAGAAAGACCTTTTCTTCCTCCATTTTGCTACAGGATAATTTTAAAAGCGCCTGTCTCTGGTGCCTGCCTGGTTCAGTCAGGAGAGCAAGAGACTCTTGGTCTCAGGGTCATAAGTTCGAGCCACACGTTGGGCCTGGAACATACTTTAAAAAAAAAAAAGGTTCATGTCATCATAGCCCCTAATAATATAAAAGGAGATAATAATAAAATATAAGGCTTCTCTCTTACATTTTCCTAAGATTGCCAGAGGACTTTAAAGTATACTGAGGTTCATAGCAATCTATGGAAATATGTAGCAAGTATTATCATTTATAATCTCAAAAATTGTGGCACAAAATGGAAAAAACAACTTCAGTATGTATCAGAATCCCCTGGAGGGCTTGTTAAAACATACATTCCTGGACCTCATCTTTAGAGTTTCTGATGAAGTGAGTCTGTGGGGGAGGCCCAAGTATTTCCTTTTCATCTAGTTCCTAAGTGGTAATGACGTGGCTGGTCTGGGGACCATACTTTGCTTAACACTGGTTTAGAATTTAAGCCACATATATAAGTAGTCTATGGTACTTTTTTAAAAAGCTTATTCTGAAAATAATCTGATAAACGACTACAGAGGACATGTCAAAATTGCATCATTTTACATAGAGGTAAATTATTTTGGTTTATTTCTTGGCAAATTGGAACAAAATAAACAACAAAAACAATTCCTTCAAAAATGATCCACATTTTGTTGAGAGCTAACTCTGAAAACCTGATGAAGACTCACTTTATTGGAGAACTCAGAGGATGAGGTCCAAGAATTCATGTTTTAATATGCCCTCCAGGGGATTCTGACACACACGGAAGTTGTTTTTCCACTTTGTGCCATAATTTCCTGCATCGACTGATACAGGCGGATGAACTACTTACTTAGTCCATTCCTATGGACCGGTCATCGGCATGGACTAGTGAGAAAAGTGGTCAGATTATCTTATCTGATGATTTAACAATCTGAGCATTCTAAATCCTCAAACTGATTTCACCAATAAAAGCCTGAGGTAAATAATCAAATAATGTAACTTGTTTTCATTTTTAGTCATTTCTTTATATGTCCCATCCACCCAAACAAGGGCAGGGGCCGCGTGACTCCTTTCTTGGGTATCTAATGATGGTAAGTAACACCAGGACCCTGTGTTGGGCAGTGGGCTGAATTCCTGCATGCACAACTTCATTACTGTTAGTAATCATGTGGAGTAAGGAAGAGAGTCCCACCCACTGACCATGTGAGAAGACCGGGGCCTTGGGGATGAAAGCGATTTGGTCGCAGCTATTCAGCTAATACAAGGCAGTGACCAAACACTAACCTCTGCTTTGTTGACCTCAATATCCTCTGAAATTCTAGAAGAGAAGTTCATGAACATGATGGGTGGGGGGGGATTGAGATCGGTCTTAGCCAAACTTACTCTTTACACAGTAAGAAGATAGTGTCTCACTCCAAATAAGATAGGGCCCCACAGACAGCCAGACATGATGTTCTCCAACTCTGAAGAACGGGAATCAAATTACAAGGCAAATTTCTGTCTGCGCCTGCCACCAGTCTCCCAACCATAACAAACCATTCGCCTGGACTCAGAGAAACCACTGTGCTACCATGAAGAACGTCAAAGAGGACAAAAGAAATAAAAAATGGAACTCGATTCATAATAAAGTCCGTATCAAAGAACACCAAATTGAAGTCCTAGAATGCAGGCAGTGTAAAATTAAATTAAATTAGATTAATTAATGATCTTTTAAAATGCCAGTGTAGTCGGAAACAAGATCACCTTCCTAGTATGCTGGAACATCTGATGACCTATTAGGTCATTTTTATTTTCAAATTCGATGTGTCGACGATTATGCACTCTTATTATAGAAATGAAATCTCTAATGTCAACTAAGTGTCTGACTGTACTAAACACTTATTTTCAGGAAAACCATCTTATTCACCTGCCTTCGTTTTGTGATTTTTATCAGGATTTGCTTATTTCACCACTGTGAATAATTCTTTCTTTTGAAGACTCTTGCAATGAGATGCATTAAGCATGTGAATATGGTAAACAGTAAGCCTGACATTCCACGGGTGGAGGTGGGAGGGAGACAGGGTTAACAACATTTAGTACAAACTGTTCAATATTACGGGGGCACATTTGGTACTCTGTAATGAAAGCAAACTACACAAGGAAATTATTTTCTTACCTTTTTGTTGATTTCATGTTCAAGGTCATCTGAAGCCTAAATTAGAGAAAGACTAATTTGTTTACTTCTCTAAAGGGCAAAATTCCAAATTTACCAGCCATATATATGTTAATGTTTAAATAAATATGGGTAAGCCTGTTATTCTTTTTATTTGTGAAGGTGGAAAATTACTGATGACATAAAGCCATCAGCAAAATAAGGAGGAAAGATACAACAGCTTGACTTACACACCAGAAAAATAAATCTTAATACTGTCTCCCCTCCCTTCTTGATAGTCTTTCCTATTTAGATGTTTCCTTACAGTAGATTAATTATTTCGTCATGGGGTTTAGGAAATCATTTGATGTGGCCACCTCTCCTGATACGTAAAGGGCAGGCAAGCACGAATGGTTACTTGATTCAACACTCATGTGTGGGTAGTGATAAAGGCTTTATGTGGTAAGGGAGCGTCAAGGTAGGCACCGAGTCTTAGTAGGCATCCAAGAGTCCCAAAATAGAGGCAATACTCTCTATCAGAAGAGGGAGGGTGTAATCAAAGTGTTCCTTTGGCGTTGCTCTTCCAACACTCTCCCAATTTCAACTACTACCAAATGGATGCACCTACCTACACCTTCAGCCACTGTCTTCAATGATTAAGAATCCTTGCCCCAAAACATCACCATGAATACCATCCATTCTCCCCTTCTCCAGGAACTCACAGACAGTTATGCCTTCTCTCCCTCTCGCAAGCCTAAGCTTTCCCTCTCTTCGGCCCCACTTCCAAAAGTTTGCAAACACACTCCAGATTCATTCCTTCTAAAAATAACGCTCCCTTGACTCCTCTAATTGCCATTATCTCCAGCCTATTCCTTGCTTCCCTTTATAGCAAAACTTCTCAAAAGTATAGTCTCTACTCATTCACATCTGTCTGTTTCCGTGGCCCTCACCACACCCTTGCAACTTCTCTTTTCAAGGTCACCAGTGACCTCCATGTTGCCAGCACCGGAACTCTGGAGTGTTCTTACTGAGTTAATCAACAGTAGTCAAACACCAACCACTTTGCCAGGGTCCAGGAGGTGGGAGAAATGGGGAGGTGTTGGTCCAAGGGGACACGTGTCTAGTTATAAGAGTAGAACGTTCTGGGGCGCCTGGGTGGCTCAGTGGGTTAAAGCCTCTGCCTTTGACTCAGGTCATGATCTCAGAGTCCTGGGATCGAGCCCCACGTCGGGCTCTCTGCTCAGCGGGGAGCCTGCTTCCCTTCCTCTCTCTCTGCCTGCCTCTCTGCCTTCTTGTAATCTCTGTCAAATAAATAAATAAAAATCTTAAAAAAAAATTAAAAAAAAAAGAGTAGAACGTTCTGGGGATCTAACGAACAGCATGGTGTTCATAGTTAACATTTTACTTCATACTTGAAAGTTACTCAGAGAGCAGATTTTAAATGTTCTCACCACACACACATACACACACACACACACACACACAGGTAATTATTAGGCGATGGAGATGTTCACTTACCTTACTGAAATAATCATTTCAGAATATATACAGGTATCAAATCATCGCTTATACCCCTTCAACTTACACAATGCTATGTGTCAATTATATTTTAATTAAGCTGGGGGGAGAATACCTCTCTTCTTGTCTTCCACCTGTTCTCTTGGCTTCCTTGATCTCATCGATTTCCATCCTACCTCTCGGGCCATATCTTGCTGCTCTTTTCTGGCCTGCCATCTCTGCCTCTTCCCATAGGTCATCTCACTTATTTCCGTGGCTTTAAATCCTATCTCCTGAACTTCCAGTTTTATCTCTAGCCCCAACTCTCTTCTAGTTCTTCTAGTTCTAGATACAGGTCATGACGATGCTCACAATGGTGAAAATGAAAATGATAACAGAGCAGCAGTAATGAAGGCCTTAATGGGAATGCCCATGTGCTAGGCACCACCGGAAGCTCTTTACATATTCTAGACCCATCAACTCTTCAAAATGGACCAGTGAGGTAGGCGCTATCTTCACCTTGTAGTGGAGAAAACTTAGGCACTGGGAGCTTCAGTTAACTTACCTGAGGTTACACAGGTAGGAAATGAAAGCAGCATCAGGGGTCAAGGCTATGGGTGCCTTGGTGGCAGTGCCCCGGAGTATCTCACAGCCCTCAAAGATCCTGTCCCACTTGAGACACTGAGTTCTTCCTCTTCCAGTCTTCCCCACTGTCCACACAGGTCCTCAGACTCAGACGCAGAGAGTCATCTCGCTTCCCCTCTCACCCTCATTTGCCCACATTCAGTCCATCAGCAAGTTGGATCATTTTTGTTTCCTCAGTTGACCTTGAACCCAGTCAGTCCTGTTTCTACTGTGCGGTTTAAGCCTCAGGGTCTGGCTGAGTGCAACAGCCTGGCCTAACCACTTTTCCTGCGTTCTCTCTTATTCCCTTCTAACCAGTCTCCATATGGCAACTGTAGTAGTTTTTCAATAACCCCTATCAGGCTGCCCTGCTCCCTTCTTTGAACATTTTTAGGGGCTTCAGATTCCACTTAAATTAACATCTGAGTCTCTCATAGTAGCTTCCGAATCCCACGCATCACCTAGCTCTTACCTGTCTGTACGATCTCATCTTGTTTCCTCTGCCCCTCACTCAGCCCGCTCCATTCAGTGTCTCTGCTGCTGTTATCCCATAACTGGGGCCCTTCCTCTCCTTCTGTGCATGGCTGGTTCCTCTTTACCTTTGGGTTCTGGTTTTCTTATTCCTTCAACCTCGTGATTCTCCCTTTTAGCCCTCATTTTTACTTTCATAATAGCACTTATCACAAATTGTATTTACATAATTGATGGTTTGTCGTTGTTTCCTATTCTCTTCCAACAAACTTCCATCAGTTTCCAATAAACTTCCATCATCTAAGCTCCAGGAGAGCAGAAACTAAGCCTGTTTTGACCTTTTAGGGTTGTTACAGCCTAGGCTATACCTGGCATGTAGTAGGTACATAACAGCCATTTTTCTTGGCTGGATGGAAATACGTTCATGTTTATTCTACATTAGGAGGGAGAGGAGATAGCTAATTGGTAGGACTAGTTTTCTAACAAGGGCTTGCTTGGGATAATCAGGTAGGTCATTTTCCCAATGACTTCATTGGGACTTCAATAGGCTGCTGTTGTTGTCTCCCTATTCACCTAAAATAATGCAATAAATGATACTACTTAAAGGATACTGGAGAAATAGGTGGTGGCCAACAGTGAGGATGGCTAATGAGCCATTCAAATATCCTTTCTAACTTATTGCCCATAGCTTGCATTAAGATATTGATTCTGGCCACCCAACATAGAAGGGGGAATTATAGGCTACTTTATTTTCATGTGGTTGTCACATTTTTAAAATTTCATAGCTATTAGCTACTACCTCTTATTGACAGTCTTGGGAAAAAAAAAAGGAATAATGAGACTCTGACCTTCTTGACACTATTTGCAACAGCCTCCTTGTGGCCCAAGTCATCAGCAGAAAGTTCGTTTCCAAATTTGTATTCGGGGTGAGCTTCCTCCTCTTGGTCAGCTGTGTGCAAGACAAAAGGAAAATCCATGAAACCTAATTACTGCCCATCAGTCAGATCTTCAGAATCTTGGGTGGAGGGGAAGAAGGAAGCTAAATGAAGATGGGAACATTTAAACAGGCAAATTTTTTTCAAGTAAAATTCTCACTAGCTCTCAAGTTCAAGGAGCACATCTTGTTAGCTGTTATTTCTTGCCCGTCTAGCATGATGTTGGACACGCGTGTTGCTTAATGCATTTCTCTTAAGTGAGTACTGATTTCCATCCCAGTATACTCACTGTAAAAATTAAAGCCTCAAGTACTCAGGAACAGCTGTGACTTTCAAAGGGTGTTAGGATCTTCCCTGGCACTTAGGGAAAACACAAGGAAGGTATAAGAAGAGGAAAATACACTCGATCATTATTAAAAAGAGATTAATGTGTATGTGAACGTTATGGGTATAGTGACTTGTGGCCAGGAGTGGTGAGACATAAAAGAGAAAGAGCTTGGAAAGACTAGACTGCACCTGTACACCACCTGTGAACCCTGGCGTAGGTTTCAGAGACTCTAGAATCATTCCTAGGGCTCATGCTAACTGAGAGGCTGGAAATGGGAGCTAGATAAAGCCGATGGCCCGGGAGCATGGCCCAGGCTGTGAAAGGAGGTATGGAAGCACCAGTCCAGTCCAGAAAGTGACAAGAACTGTGGCATCTTCCTGAGGCTGGTATCCTCCCAAGGCTGTCAGTGGAAAAAAGATATCCACTAGAAAATGACACATGTTGGTGTGAGATCTGGATTCCCATGATTCCTCATTCTGCAAAAAACTCCCAGGTTAGGAATTTGCCTAAAAACTTGTCAGGATCAGGAGAAACCCACAGGCCTCCGGTCAAGGCCAACATAAATCCACACTGTCACAACACAGGGCTTGAGGGACCCCTACTGGAAAAAACAGTGAAATAATTTCTGAGTATGGACTCCTGACAGCGGGAAGCAGACCCGTAAGAAGTGGTGTTGTGTGTGTGAGTGTGTGTGTTTTGAGCATGTTTAAAATGTGTAAACAACTCAAGAATAAGATTTCATCACTTCTAAGATGCATTTTTTCCACATAGTAATATTTCTGATGTTGTAACGTGTTCTTCTAATCGATGCTGTTTTACAATTACTTGGAAGCAGCTTTCTTTCCTAGTCATTATAAAATAATGTTGTCTTTCAACTGATGGTGTCTTAGATCTGGAATTTCTTGAGGGATTGCTTTTTGCAAAGTGTTATTCCAGACATGGAAAAAAAAAGTGAGGCAAGATAGACAGACACCCTCCTGTTCTGAAACTGGTATTCTGATGGGTGGATGAGTGGAAGTAGATGATTACAAAAAGAAAAAAAAAAAAAGTAGCTCATATAGGCCTTTGGCAGGAAAAAAAGGAATTAAGGAGCTGGAATAGGTCTTTAAAAAATCTAGCCCAGTGTGTCTACTTTATAGATCAGGAAATCGATCCAGAGATATGATTTACAAATCCAAGGTCACAGAGGAAGATATGGACCTAGATTTCCCTGGATTCTTAGCACAATGCTCTTAACATGACACTGAGTTTGCATGATCTACAGTCTGTAACCGAGATTTTGAAACTTCCCACCATTACTAGTAAATTTCCAGTTCATATATCTTTTAGTCTAACCTGGCCAGCCAGATATAAACTACTTGAAGTCAAGGAACGTGTCCCATACAAGTAGTAGAGACTTGACTTTAAAAAAGGGAGTGTCTGGGTGGCTCAGTCGGTTAAGTGTCTGACTCTGGGTTGGGTTCAGGTCCCGATCTTGGGGTCCTGAGATGGAGCCCTGTATTGGGGTCCACACTCAACATGGAGTCTGCTCGTCCCTCTCCCTCTGTTCCCCCACCTCTCTCTCACGCTCTCTCGAGTGTGTGCTCCCTCTCAAATAAATAAATACTCTTTTAAAAAGAGGAAGAGTTGTATGAATGGATGCTGCCATTCCTTGATTGTGCAACGGTGCAGAGACACACCCACAACCACATATAGTTTTGGCATTCCCCACTGCTTGTCACACAGTCCTGGAAGCCACGTGTCCTTCGGGATCTAAATCCTGCCTAAGGAATGGGCACATGCTTTCATTGACTAAGGGCCTTTTCTGTTTTCTACAGCCTCTAGGCAGGGCTAATCTTTCAAGTTATGCTTGGTTTCCTCTTACCTACTGTGCTGAAGTATTTAAATTAGAGACTCTTGTCATTCATGTATAGTAGGATCATACGGTGACACAGGGGTAATTAGAGCCAACTGGTCGACCAGAATTAAGCCAGGCATCATCGAAGGAACCTAAGAATATGTAACTGGTATAGCAGAAACCTGTATACCCTTAAACAGAAATTCAAGTGGATGATTTTGTCCTCTCAGCTAATTTTCTTCATGTATGCCATCCCACATGATTATTTCTGTCCACCCTGAACAACACGGAGCCACCAGAGCCAAATATTTTGTAGGAATAATGAGCATACACATAAAAGGTGGGAAGTACCCTTAAGGATGATAAATGGAATCACATTGACCCTCATCTTTGATTAGTGTGTGTTCAAGAAATTTTACATCATTGACTTTCATCAGTTACATTTTTTTTCTAAAAGATATTTTTAACAACAATTTTGCATATTTGTTTTCTCTTCGTATTCCTGTATATTAGATGGGCAGTATCGTAAGGCACGAAAGCTCCTGAACCTGGAGTCAGGCAATTCTGGGATTGACTCTTAGTGCCACTGTTCACCAGCTGTGGGGGCATATGCAGACTATGTTTACCTCTCAGACTTCCACTTCCTTTACCTGAAAAATGAATGTAATGATACCTGTTTCATTGGGCCATAGAAAGATTACATGGTGATGTAAACTGCTTCCTTCACAGTTAGTACATCAACAGCGGTTGCAATTCATATTACTATTATTTTCCTTGTTAATTTAGTCCAGTATTCTGCAGTTTGTTTTACTGGATTGTAGGATCTAGTAATGTCTAAAATGTTTTCGACTACCATCTGTAAAACTTAACCTAAAGTTAAGGAACTGATTTTACATAATATGCATCTTTTCAAATTTTAGAAGTATTTTATTGACCTTTTCAAATAATATTCTTTTCAGGATTTTATTCTGAAATCATGTTCAGGTTTATTATTTGCCAAAAAAAAAACCCACAAAAAAACCAAAACGTGAAATAATAGGGCAGCATGGTTGACAGCATTTTCCAAACACAGCTCCAAGAATACCTGCTCTCCTACATGCACTTCTAGAATGTGATCTTGCCCCTCACCCACCCCCTCGAAGCTGGGTGGGCCTTAATTTTGCTTTGATGAATGAAATATACAGGCAATGATGATGGGCCAGTTCTGGGCATCGTTCTTAAAGTAGTTTAGAAGCTTTCGTATTCTGCCTCTTGGAAAACTGGCTTTCACGGTGTGCCATCTAGAACCTTGGCCACCATGCTGTGAGAAGCCCAAGCCACATGGAAAGGACAAAGGGAGGAGTTCTGGTCCTCAACCCTGCTGAGCTCCCCACAACAAATGCCAGCCACAGGAGTGGGCCATCTGGGACATCTGGCCCAACTGAACCGTCAGATGACTCCAGCTCTGGATGTCATCTGCCTGCAAATGCATGAGAAGCTTAAGGGAAAATCATCAGTGTGAGCCCAGATGTCCCCACAGAACTATGGGAGAAAGTAATAATGTGTTATTTAAAGCCTCTAGATTTTGAGGCGGTTTGTTACCTAGTAATAGAAAATTATAACAGTCACCAATTAAATAATTCCAGGTATCTCTGCCTTCTTGGACACTCATTGCCATGTACAATATATGAAAGTCAGTCAGTATTTGCGTTCTCTGGGAGTGGGGCTGAACCCCTGGTTTGGACACACAACACACACCGTCCCGGTGAAGTCTGTTTCATGGTGAGCCATCTTTATAAAGCTCTCTTTTTTACTGAGATTAGTTAATTCTCACGACTTTCAGGTTTTCACCTATAGTAGCAAACCTTCCTAAAATCTACTCGTATATTTCAGATTTTCATATAATAAGTGGAGAGAGTTTCTCCAAGTGTTTCTACATTGTGTAGCCCCAACCATGACGTAAATACAAGACAACAGTCCAACCAGTAGACACACAATTTTGCTAATCAATTTTCATACCACATAATGGAGAAAGAATTTTCTAAAACATTCCAGACCTTTCAAAAGGTCCATTTAAAGCCAATCATTATGGCTGTGGCTATATGGCCCAAGTAATGTAGAGGATAGTAGCAAATATTCTGATTTTTTAAGCAAGGCTACCTTTGCTAAAATCACCTGCCTGTCTTGGTAATTCTGGTGAGCTGGTTATTTGAAAGAATATTAACTGGAAATTTTAATACTGGCTTTGAATTTCCAGTTCATTTCATGTGTGCGCACAAACCCATCATTTCCCTGAGGGTCCCTATTTGTGTTCCTTTCGTGGTAACTTGCCTTACTACTAACATCATTAACAACGCTGAAGTTTATGTTTTTGTTTATAGAAAGGATTACAAAATGTTCTTTTTATTCCAACCCCTTGCCTTCTATAGCAAGGATTCTCTGGCTCTGAATTTCGGATGAGCAGCTGATTGCACAACAGGAAGGGAGATGACTAAGCCACAAAAATCTAGTGCCCATGTAAACTGAAAGGAACATTTGGGAAAATATCAAAAAATACCAAAATATGAAAGTTTGGTGCATGAGTACACACTTGACTAATTAGACTTAAGCCATCACATTATGTAAAAGGACCCATGGAGACAAACTCATGTTTTTCTTATTTTAAAAATTATTTTTGTGAGCACCTGGCTAGCTCCGTTGGAGAGCATGTGACCCTTGATTTCGGGGTTGTGAGTTCAAGGCCCATGTTGGGTGTAGAGAGTACTTAAAAATAAATAAATAAACTTCTAAAAAAATATATTTTTGTGAAACATAAATTAGAAAAAAACTGACTCACCACTTTCTATTTCCTCTTCATTATCATCCTCTAGGATACTAACCGGGGCAGCAGATTCTCCAGCTTCCATCATGCTTTTCAAAGCCTCGAGCTGTTCTGTTATTCAAAACAAATAGGAAGGAGATGGTGACAGATGCCAGATGACTTGCAAAGCCTGAGTCCTAAGATCAACACCAAGAAGGGAATGTATAGTCTAAGTCCCTCGTGGTTACATTCCTAAGGTCACTGTCTCACCCAGATCTGCTGGTCAGACTTCTCTTGGGATGTGCAACCTTCATCAACATTTGATGAAGGACTATGGGACGTCGGTGAAATGCCCAAAGTTCTGGTCCTAAATTGAGAGGAAGCTTCAGTCACTGAGAAGGATTTAAGTCTTGGTGCCAAAGGCCCACAGTTTCGAGAACAATGATGTTAAGTGACAGAAAAGAGACAGGCACACCGAAGAGTGATACAACTTCAGGGAAAAAATATCTGTGACCGACAGACCCGAGATTATTATTCTCACATATAAAAAGCCCTTATACGTCAGTAAGACAAATAATTTTGAAAATGGAAAAACACGTAGAAGCACGTTATAAATAATGATATTATCAAGAAACGAGTTACTAAGAACATTACTATCAAAAAACTAGAGTCTCGTTCTCCTTCGACCCATCGGACACACATACGTACAAGCTGGCCAAGAGCCAGCAGTAAGAGTATCACTGGGAAACAGGCATTCTCGTGTATTGTGGGGATACTGTAAGTTGGTACACTTTTTCTGAAAGAAAGTATAACAAGATGCATCACAATACAAAAATGCGTACATGTCTTGGCCAACCAACGTGAATTGCACCAACTGATTTCAAGGAGAAGCTGTGCAAATCGGACAAAACGAACATTGACTTAGGTTTATCATTGTTGTTTTTATAGTAATGAAAAGCCATCGACTTGGGACTGGTTAAACGGTAGCTTATCCCACACAACAAATTCTATGGAGTGTTTCACACATCAGAAGTCAAGTTAGTATGTAGTAACATTAGTAGGAATGTAAGTATACTTAATTGGTTTTATTAAAGATAAAAAAAAACAGCATATTTTTGAAAGATTTTATGTATTTATTTGACAGAGACAGAGCTCACAAGTAGGCAGAGCAGCAGGTAAGAGAGGGGTGTAAGCAGGCTCCCCGCTGAGCAGAGAGCCCAATGTAGGGTTCGATCCCAGGACCCTGAGATCATGACCTGCGCCAAAGGCAGAGGCTTTAACCCATTGAGTCACCCAGGCTCCCCCCCAAAATCAGCATATTTAGACTGATCCCAGTTTTATAAGAAAGGTATGTCTAAACATGTAGCTGTAGTACATGTATCTATGTGTAAAATACATAACTCAGTGCTATTTTATTATGTTCTTATATTTTTCTTTGTTGTTTTCATTTTCTCATGGTATTACTTTTGTAATAATAATTACTATAATTTAAAACTTAGATATAGATACAGTACATATATACACATATATATGTGTATACACACACACAATGGAATACTACTCAGCCATCAAAAAAAGAAATCTTGCCATTTGCATGATGTGCATGGAAATAGAGTGTATTATGCTAAGTGAAATCAGACAGAGAAAGGCAACTATTATATGATCTCACTGATATGTGCAATTTAAGAAACAAAACAGAGGAGCATAGGGGAAGGAAGGGAAAAATAAAACAAGATGAAGCCAGAAAGGGAGACAAACCATAAGAGACTCTTAATCATAGGAATTAAACTGAGGGTTGCTGGAGGGGAAGAGTTTGGGGGTGTGGAGTAACTGTGTGATGGACATTAAGGAGGTTATGTGATATAATAAACACCTGGGTGTTATATAAGACTGATGTGTACCTGAACTTTACTTCTGAAACTAATAATATACTATATGTTAATTAATTGAATTTAAATTAAAAAAAAAACTTAGAATACTTAGGGTAAAAACACAATGCAATCATCCCCATATTTCACGTTACCAATTCACTGAATTAAGAGACTAGCCGAAAGAAAATATTTTCAAAGAAAATCTCTAGGGAAAATACAGGGGAAATATCTATATAAAATCACTTCTCTCTCGCCACACATACACACATTCATGCATTCTCACATTCACCTAGGACCCCAAGATATGTGTATCTCACAGAGGCAAACTGTAAAGGGAAAGCTTTTAAGAGGACTTTAAAGCATATTAACTGAAAAAAAAAAAAAAAAAAAAAAAGGAGTTCCTTCTATCTTGGTAAATTCTAAAATGCCTCTTTCACTTTCTTCTCATTTTGCCTCGGGATCATTCTAAATCCTGCATCTTATGAATATATGAATATGCTTTTCCCACTGCAGGAACCTACACTTAAATGTCAGTGTGGCCACTTTGCTCTGAAAAGTATATGCAACACTGTTATGCTCCCTTCCTCCCCCAAATCAGTGGTTTTAAAATAGATTTCATTTTAGACAGCTGAACTGTCCAAACACACAATGTGTGCATGCTTTATCATTGGTGTGTCTTTGACTTACTTTTTTCAACCTCAGGTTTCAGCCGCTTATTTTTGATGAGTATTTTTCTTTTGAGGTCATTGGGGGATGGTAAGGGCCTGCCTGGTTCAAGCTAGAGAAAAACAGAAAAGGCTGAATTAATGATGTGCTTCTTCAGTCTCATTCCCAGCCCAGTGTGAGCACGGAGGCCTGTTATACAGCCCAACATCCACTAGATGGCAGTCAGCACAGTTTTATGTTTTCATTCCCCAACGTCTATCACCTACTGCAGGAAACTCTGCCTTAGACTGCAGACTTGACATCCACAGTCTCCCAGAGCTGTGCAGAGCCACTCCACCTTCCCCAGCAGGAGCTAGGTCTGACCTGGAGTGCTGCTGGGCGAGGGGCTCATGCTCAACTTCCGATCTTGCTCCTTTTATGTATCGGGTAAAGTACAAGGAGTGATTGAGATGGTGGGGGTCACAACGGCTTTCCCGGGCAGAAGTCGAGGGCTCCCTTGATCCCCTTAAATGTTAGGTTGTATTAGGAAGCCTGTTTACTCAGTAGGCTGATGTAACCCCAATACTTGGGATTATGGTTTTGTGGGTTCAGTAAGAGAATCAAGAAGGGAGTGGTCAGTTACCAAAACCTGACCTCTATTGTGATTTCATTTGCCTGGATTTATGGCTGCAAAGGCAGTGTCCTTTTTTCTATCACCTCCGACCCATACAACTGCGCCATATCTAGTCACCCCTTCCCCATTCTCTCATGCATCCACATAATCACCCACCCACCCCTCCATCCACCTGTCTTTTCCATGCATCCACTCATTTTTTCAAAAGTAATCTCTATGCTACTTATTACATGCAAAGCACTATGCACTCCTGTGTCTGTGTTGCCCCAAACAAGGCTCTTTGCCAAAATTCTGCTTCCTTCCAAAGCCTGCTGTAACCGGTCCATTCCCCAGGGATCTCTCTTGAACCTGGGTATCTCTAGTGTTCAATATGTCACAGGCCATCCTCCTCTGTAGCTCTAATTTTACCTGTGTTCTGTGTCTCCCCCCTGGCCCTCCTCAAGACTGAAAGCTTTTCACTTCAGGGAGGTCCCGCTCCCATGTGTATTCACATACGCTCCCCACAACATTTTCCACGTATGTGCATATCACTCTGCAAAGAACACAGTGGTCTTTCCAAGGAACAAGCACCTTAGCCCAGTCAGAAAAGTAAACAGAAGGTCTAGGTAAAACAAAATAAAATTAATAAAAATCCAGGCTGTTTCTTAGTTTGGGTTCCCTCAGAATCAGTCTCTGAGAAAAGGATGTGAACAGACCCAAAGTCTCTTTGGGAGGCAGCCGCAAGAATGTCCAACCGGAGGGTGGGGGTTAGGAAAGTGAGAAAAAGGCGGTAAGTAGCCAACCCCAATGGGGTGTTATCAGGTGAGTTATCACTGAGGGGAGCAGGCGTGTGGTCCTGCTGGGGAGCCTGGCAGCCTTGGCAGATCCCAAGCTCTGGAGCTGTCCCTCCTGCTGCGTGAGGGGACTGTGGGGGAGGGATGTGAGCTCTGCGGCCCTTCTGGCCTTTCCTTCCCATATGGGCAGAGCCCGCTCTGGTGACCAGAGCACCCCACCTCACTTGAAAAGCCACAGGCACTGGCAGCCATAAGCAGGCCAGTGTACAGGGAAGATAGAGAGTGCTGCACGGACAGGAGCAGGGAGCCCGCAGCATGGCGTCTGTCCACAGGCTGAGGATAATCAGGGGGTGGGTGCAAAGGATGCAAATATCCTCCTGTCCTAGGCATTTTTTTTTCCAGGTTTTTTGTTTGTTTGTTTGTTTTTAAATACTGCAGAGTACTTTACACTTAATCCCGTTAGCTCTCTTCCTATTCATAACATCTTGGGACAGTGGACCTTCACCACTTTGAGGTTATGGATCCTTGCAAAATGTGATGAACTCTGTGGAATAATTATACACTAAAAAAAGTTGTATGCAATTAGAATGAGGTCATAGACCTCACAAAGCCTATCTGTGGGCCATAGGTTAAAGGTTCTTTGTTTATTTTTTAAAGATTTTATTTATTTATTTGACAGAGATCACAAGTAGGCAGAGAGGCAGGCAGACAGAGAGGAGGAAGCAGGCTCCCTGCTGAGCAGAGAGCGCGATGCTCGATCCCAGGACCCTGTGATCATGACCTGAGCCAAAGGCAGAGGCTTTAACCCACTGAGCCACCCAGGTGCCCCAATCTTTGTTTTATGAATCAAGTTACAGGTGTAAAAATGAAGCTCAAAAGTTTTAAGTATACCATTTTCCAAGTGTTTGTTAGTTGTTGTTGTTTAAGATTTTATTGTATTTCTTTGAGAGACACAGAGAGAGAGTGAGTGAGCACGTGTGCAGGCAAACACACGAATGGGGGGAGGAGCAGAGGGGAAGGGAGAGGGACGGGAAAAAAATCTCTCAAGCAGACTGCACTGAGCATGGAGGCTGACCTGGGGCTCAATCTCAGGACCCCGAGATCATGACCTGAGCTAAAACCAAGAGTCAGACACTCAACCGACTGAACTACCCAGGTAGTTCCTCCATCCCTCCACCTCCGCCCGATTATCTGTTTTGGAGTTGGGAGCTTGAACGTCAGACTCTTTTGATTTCAATTTAGGGGACTTCTTACAGCAGTGGGGTCCTATGGGTGCTGAACCCTATGTGCACATTTTATTCACCTGGAGGGTTTTTTTAAAAAACATCATGATCAGGCCTTACCCCAGACCAGTTCAAAATCTCTGAGTAAGGCCCTGGCAAAGGTATTTTTAATAGTCCTTCTAGATGGTTCTATCAGGCAACCAAGTTGAGAACAAATGCTGAGCATAGACCCTTGGCCAGTGGGCATTTTGTGAAACTTTAGGACAGAGATCTCAAAAACCATAAAGGCCTTGAGACCCTTTAAATTAAACTGAACCAGATGTTTACTTTATGTCTCTCTCTACACATCTGTCCAAAGCACGAAAGCTTTCCATACCAATGAATTTAAATAAATACTAAGATCTTTAGTCCTCTAGCACTACTTGACCCTTTAGAAATGAATTTCAAAACAAATCCATTCAGGTTAGAAATATGGTTTGCTAAAAATACATACTGGATGTGATTCAAGTGCTTGTTTCAACAGGAGATCCCCAAATAGATCTTCGCAATATTTGGACATCTTGTACTGCTGATATTTGCTGGAGAGAGAGAGAGAACTGGCATTCATAAATTCAAACATCCATTATGTGTCTAAGAACAAGAAACATCCATTCCTAGGTGATTCAAAACTCCCACTCTGCAAAATCCATACTTGTGCTCTTGATGCTAAGTGAGACACTCAGTTACATGCCAGAGACTTTAACTGGAATGGTTTCAAAAGCAGATCCTAACCCCCCCCCCCCCAAAATAAGAGCTGGTAGGCAGAATAAAAAATGGCTTTCAAGTTCATCAAGTCTGCTTTCCAATCCACTGCCACATCTTCCAGCTCAGCGGAACTTTGAACAAGGTGTCCTGATCGCTCACCATTTAGAGGGAGCATCTCTAAAACACAGCAAGATGACTTGTTTTTTCCCCTTTGTATTTTCCTTTCTTTTTGAGTTTGGGGTGGTGGTACTGGTGGTACTGGTTTGAGGCTTTTCTTTTTTCTTTTTTTTTTTTGCATAAGACCAAGTGTCCTTACCACTACCCCCAAACCATTCAGCTCTTTAAAAAGATGTAGAGCAGCAGTGGGAATCGGGTGGTAGATATTTCAAATAGAACCCGTTGTTATACCTGCAGTGATTTTCAAAGGAGAGAATTACAGGATATTCGGATGTGACAAATGCGGTTTCCTTGATGGCTTGAATAACATCCTTTAAAGATAAAAAGTGTTAATGAGAGAGAAGAGCCAAAAAACAAATTAAGGCACCTGAACCCATTCAGAGACTATTAGTTTTGGCTTTTCAGAAAGTCCGTTCTGGCAATTAAGACCTGGAGAGCCCATTCACCTTGATACCGGCACAGGGAGAGCCCCCTTGCGGTTAGACCCAAGCACAGCTAATGGTTAATGACAATTTTTTTTCCAAAGCTACCGTGGACTGCTCCAAAATTATGATGCTATTAACTGACAAGGAATTTTGTCTCAAGGGCATGCTGGCTCCTTGCTCGATTACCTGGCAAGACAGGTTCAGAGCTCATCTTTCTTGCTGAAGAGCAGGTGGGGTTTTGGCTACGTTTCATTAATTCGATGAAGATTCCTGTGACATTCGCAACATCCCTTGTTTCTGATTAGCCTGATGAAAATGGCGGTGGGGGGAGGGGGCAGGTGACGAGGGAGGCTGTTCTCCTTGATCAAGCAACGTGTGAGGTGAGACAGGTGGTATTACAGCTGCCCCTTTCTGAACTGGAAGCTCAGTCATCTGAAACCCCCTTTGAACAAGCTGAGCATATCCTTCCCACAGACGGCTGGCCTTGCTCTTGGCTTAGCTTTAGAAAGCGTGGTTTCAAACCAATGTTTCTACAACCACAGCATCATACTTGGTAAAAATCCCCAAATTCTTACTGGCTTATTGCTAACCACAGGGAAAATCCCACCATTCAGTTATATTGTTAAAAATTATACAATAGTAATCTAGGCTAGTCCCTTTGAAACCCATCTAATGCCTTGGGTTAGAGAATCATGGAGTGTTTTCGGGAGCATCCTTATGCCTAAGGTGGTCCTTTAATTATTCTTGCTTCAAGTTTCTTTAGGTGAAAACTTCTGTGACCTTGCTTGCCAACTTGAGTTGACCAAGAATTACTCCTTGAGGAAAATTTTGGCTCTGCCCCGGGGTTCTCCTTTGCTCACCTCCAAGCTGAGAAGAAATAGCCTTCTTTTCAGCTAAGCTTCTATATTAGGCCCCATAATTCTCTAAAGCGGACAACCCTTTCTGTCAGTTTAGTTGGCTGTGCAAATTCATGGCTTCCTACTGGAATACATTCTTGGTATTTCTCAGGCAGTGCAATTCCTTCTCAGGGAACATAACCCTGAATTTGCTGCTGCTCAAATTCACCAACATCTGGCTAAGAGAAATGGTATGCATGGAGTGTCATAGGTATAGGGCCCAGGCATCTTTTCTTACAAATACCTCTGGTGATTTCCCACATGCAGGCAGGGTTGAGAACCATTGCTCCAGATGTTGCAATAACCATCCCAAATTGCATGCAACTGACAGATACAGATGTACCTGAACAGTGGCCAACCACAGAATTGCATTTTTTTTTACTTGTCTTTTGGCAGGCTATCACTGGAGCATATTGTGGAATGCTGTAAGAAACTAACCTTCCAACCGTACACAGAGATCACCAAAAGGCCATTACTGAAATGCCTGTTTGTAAAACTGTAGATGCCTCTCTTTGAGGGTCCTTGGGGAAAAGCCTTCTTTCTGGCATCAGGACTGGGAACAACTACGCTTCTTTGGACCAATGGGCCAGGTTCTATTTTGCAAAGCTTGTGAATCATCATGTTTCTCTCCTCGCCATGAATTCTAGACAGTTTGGAACCCGTCTGTGGCATGGCTTGGAAGTTTATAGACTTGATATTGAGGATTCATCAACTTTAACCTAGTCAAAGTAGCTTCTTGCTCTGATAGGCACTATTTATAATCTATTTTATTTTCTGTATTCTATTTATCTTCTTATGCCATTTTGACGTTCTTCAGAAATAATGCAAAATAAGCAAGAAAACCAGACTTTTTAAAAGTAGTTAGAGTCGGGGGATTCTGACAGAAGAAGCCTCATTATATGGTGCTGTCACCATCTGAAAGCAGCAAAGTCAGAAAAGGAAGGTGCTATGAAGTGGAGAAAACATTTTTCTTGACTTTCTCTTCAAAGCTGGAGGAAAGGAATACGAAGGTAAAACACTTGAGAAAATGAATAATTTGTTTTCTCCACTTCATCTATCTCTACGATAGTCTGGAAGAGACTATGACTATTTTGAAACTTACCTTAAAAAGGATATCTGTACACATTGCTTTTCCATGAGTTATTATCGGTTCTTGGTCTTCACCTTTTCCATCCCAACAGTCAAGTTCAACGCATCTAGGCACACAGTGAAATTACAAGACTGAGCCCTTACAATAAAATACTGAGTGTGTGTGCAAATTAAAAGGAGAGACATCAAAATAAGTTGTTTTCTTATAGAAGCATAACATGGGATGAGTTAAGTAACATGATTATTGCATGGAGTATGCAGGTTAAAATCACATTATATTCTTTATCACGTTGCTGTCATGAAAAAGGGACTGTCAGAGATGAAGTCAGACTTTGGAGATACAACCACCAGTGAGATTCTGGATGAAATTCTAGTCATGACAAATCCACAATGAAGGACAATTTGGGGACAACTGGGAACATCTGAATGTGGGCTGGGTTTTAGATGATGCTAAAGAACAGTTTTGAAAAATTTTGTTAGGTGAAATGATGTTACTTTGGCCATAAAAGAAAATGTTCTCATTGTGTCAAGTATTCAGAGGAAGCCGTAGTGATGTTATTTCCTTAGAGTCTCCCCATCCACAAAATATAGTGAGTTATTAAAAATAAGGTACGGCTATTAATAACCAAGAAAAAATATCATAATGTAACTACATTTCTTATTTTTCACTTTCAGCATTTTTCCATATTTTAAACTTCAAATATTTGCCAATTTCCACAGAAGGAAAATCATTTTCAATAATCTTCATTCTCAGAGAATGACATTTTAAGACTTCTAACATTAAGTAGAGCTAAATTTGCAAATGCTTCAGACCAGTAAGAAACTTAACATGACTTCTTGAAAATTTTTTTTGCAATTTTGAGGGGGGGGAATATTTGTTTACTTATTTGAGGGGGGATATTAAAAAACTTATAGTAAAAACTATCTTTTGGCCCATAGGATTCTAGAACTTTCTGGAGCAAAGATTATCTGTTCTTTTTCAAGGTTACATGACCAGCATAATCAATTAAAGAGAAGGAAAAAATGTCCTTTCATTTGGAATACTACCTCCTACTTTTTTAGAGAAAAATCTTAAATTGAAGGACATCATATTAAAAAAAAAAAAAAAAAAAAGGAACTGTCCTGAGTTTCTGACCTGCAACCAGCCAGGAGAACCTGTCTGTACATTTCTACTGAAGATTTCCCACCAAACTGTCGGCCCGTGAGATAGGTGTTATGGGAAGAACTGATGAAGTAGTGGGCCAGAGGATGGTCCATTTCTTGGTAAAGTTCTAAACGATCCAGGAAGACTGGGGCATTTTCATCTGACATCAGGTATCTGCAAAACCCATCGCTTGATATGAGGCCTGGGGGAAGAAAGAACAGCTAGTAGACATGTGGCTCGGAAGATACACCTCTCACATTTTTCTTCATGTAAGTTGAGGCAGCTTAATCTGGAGTAAACGCTTCTCATTCTCTTTCCCAAGAACCTTCATCCTTTGGAACTTGAACAAAGTAACAGAGTTGCACATGACAAGTAACCTAACTCATTCCACAAGACAGGGCACTTTCTGCTTTTGTAAGTAGGATGACAGAAGCACAGATTCCCTGAGCTCAGAATCGTAGCGCCAGGAGTTGTAGTGACCAGGGGTCAAGGGGACCTTTTTCAGTTCCGCTTCTACCACTCACTCCCTACGTTCTTGGGTCTCAACCTCCTCTTCTGGCAAATGGGGGAGAAATACTGGCCACACCCGCTTCCCAGGACTATCCCGAATGATAAAGGACAAGACATACGAGAGGGAGTCTTAAAAAAGTGGAAAAGAGGGGGGCACCTGGGTGGCTCAGTAGGTTAAGCATTGCCTCTTGAACTCAGCTTAGGCCTTGATCTCAGGGTTTTGAGTTCAAACCCTACGTTGGGCTCAGGTGGAAAACCTACAACTGTAGGGCACTACTGTTCTCACTGGATTGGAGAAGGAATGAGCAACCTCTCTGGGTTTAAACAATTCATTTCTCCTATTTTCTCTATGCACAGGGTGTAGGACTGGTGAGAAGAGTATTTAGTCATCACTGAAATGTGCAGTGGCCCTAAGAGCCACTGTTCATTTCGGTCAGTCCTTTCTGATACAAGGCTGGTCCCCTGTGGTCTCAGGAGAAGTGATCAATATTTCTACATCTCCCACCCCATCAACCACCAACTGCCTCAGCCTTTTGGGTTGTTTTTTTTTTTAGCCTTTTGTTTTTACTTAAGCATTTGCAAGTTATGAACTGATTTCAAGCTTATAAATAACTTATAAGCTTATAAATAACTATGGACGCAGACCACAACTTCGTAACATCTTCCCTTATTTACTGTTCATTTTTCCAGAGGAATACATAATTACGGATGCCTCTGCAGCACCCAGGCCTCCCACCCTCCATTCTACTGCAGTTCCTCTTTCTAGTCCCTTGTAGACAACCATTCCCAACTTTTTGTATTGAACATTCTCTAAATGGCTTTGTAACTCTACTACATACGCCTGTATCCAAACCATAGGTAGTTGTGAATATTTAAAAGATTGTATAAAAGAGAGTCCATTATTTGCATATGCAAATTTGCTAATGTTACATTTTCTTATAACTGATTCAGTTAGTATAAGCAGCTCTTGGTCATTTATTTTTCCCTGAATAATGTAGAGTAGTAGGTATAGGGGTGGTATGTAGGACTGTAGAATATAGAATAGGTCCATGTCTGAATACATCCATTTATTGTCCATGATTCTGTTGATGGGTATTTAGGCAATTTCTAATTATAATTAAACATACTACAATAAAAATCTGTGCACCTGTCTCCTTGGGCACACATATCCATTCTAAGAGCAAGTACTTTTGAAGGCACTGGGACAGAAGAAGTGATGGGAGACACAGACACGCCCAGCCTTCACAAAACATACTGTGGGAAAGAGAACAAATAAATTAGCAAATAAATATAAGTATAATGTAATGTCATGCAAGTGCTAGAAAGAAAAAGAAAGCAGGGAATGAAGGTGATCAAGAATGCCCAAGATGCTGTGTTAGATACAGGGCCAGCAAAAGCCCTTCTGAGGAGGTCACACTGATGAATAGGGAGCAAGCCGCATGCAGTCTGGGGAATCATCCCAGGTAGGACAAGCAAGTGTGAAGACCTTGACACAGGAGTGTGTGACCAAGGGGAGAGGGAGTTAGAAATGAGGCTAGAGAGGAAGCCAAAAGCTACATTAGTTGGCCTGAAGTCTTCGCTAAGTACTGTGGGTTTTACTCTACGTCTGTTGGGAAGCCTTGGGAGGGTTCCAAAGAGTGGAATAATATGATTAGATTTAGTTTTCAATTGTTTAGTCTGGCTGCTGTGTGGAACATAAACTGTAGGGCACCGAGTAGAAAGAAGATTAGTTAAAAGTCAGTTGCCATCATCTAAGACGACATGATGTAGGCATGGATAGACCAATGAAGGTAGAGATGGTGAGAAGTGATTTATTCAGGACTTATTCTGAGGATAGATCTGGGAGGTTTTACTGATGGATCAGAAGTGACATGAAAGAACAACAACAACAACAACAAAAGAACAAGAGCAAGTCAAGGAAGATTCCAAGAGTTTGGGCCTAAAAATTCAGGTGAATCATGGTAACATTTATTTTCCGGGCTGAGAAGGGAACAGGTCTGAGGGCAGGGAGAATCAAAACATGTTGTACATATACATTTGAAATGCCCATCAGTATCCAAATGGAAGACTCTACTGCAGGTCTGTAGTTGAAGTTAGAGGTCAGAAGTGGAGAATTTGAAAGTCATGTGTGTAGAAGAAATTTAAAGCCACTGACTTGGGTGAGTGTGCTTCCTCTGACATCCAGAACTGGGAACAAGATGGGAGGTTCTCTAGGATACATACCTGGAGGTGGATAGGCTGGGCTGTAGAAGGGCATGTTTTCTACTCTACCCCTCATTGCCAAAATATTCAAAAAGGTGGTTGTTTGTAACAGTTTAAGCTCCTCCCAGAAGTTTATAATGCCTTTGCACCCCATTCTCACCCATACTTAATAATGGCAGACTTTAACATTTCTGTCATTTATGATTTGGTGAAGCTATGATTTTTAGATGCATCAATGCAATTTCATAGACATTAGGATCTGGAAGGACTTTAGAAATAATGAAAGATACACCCCTATCATAACATTTATCATACTGCCAAGGAACTACTGAGCCATGTCCTTCAACAGATCACAACTGTCTTACTTTTGAATCCCCAACATCTGGTCCAGGGCTTGGCAACCAGTCAGCCCTCTGTAAACTTCAAGAAATGAAGGTAGGGGAGCGGAATATTAGTTGAATGACTATATGAGCTCCACTGTGTTATGAGCAGGGAAACTGAGGCCCAGGAATAGGGTCCCTTGCTCAAGGTCACACAGTGACAGGACAGCAACAAGAATCAGATCAAATATTGCAAAGTGTTATATGAGCTATCAAGCCACCCCTTCCTTCACTTTAATCCCAAGCAGTGTAGAATAAAGACTACTACTCAGAGTGTTGGCATAAAGGTAAATAAGGAAGCACTCATGCTGGAAGGAGTTATTTGGGGTCCTAGAAGGAAGTGTAAGTGTATGACGATTTGACTTGGAAACAGATCAGGCTGGGTCATGTGGTGTGGCGGGCCAGCATGAATATACATGGGTTCCATGTGGGTCCAGAGATTATATAAACCTTTTAGCCACATTCACTGAGATACAAAGAAAAAAGAACATGGAAACTGAGGCCATAATATCCAGGGACACATGGGAAACATAGAACTTGAACCTGAATCTCCCTTCAACCCCCCACTGGGACACAAGGCTGAGGCTCAGGTAGCTCTTGTCTCAGGACCTCCTGTCCAATTATAGTAGCATCACCTCTCCTATCCTTTGCAGGTGCCTCCCTCTGCTACAAAACTGATCTTCAATTTCCTCTCCACGCCTTTTCTTTGTCCAATACTGGAATGGACAGCACACTGCTTCCAATGTTTCATTGAAAGAGACAAATATTCAGAAACCCTAATAACTGATTCCTGACCATTTAATTTCCTATCAGTTGCATTTGTATTCCACAACAGAGGTCAAGTGATGGGTAGGCTCATCAAATCATGTATTAAAATTTACTCGGCTTGGCAAAACAAAAGGGAGAAAGAGAAGGTATAAACTTTTAAAAGACGTAAAATTCTTTCCAAGCTGGCAAACAGAGACCATATGGGCATTTTTGCAGTTTAAGCATTAAGTAATACCAAAGATCGAATGTGAGAGATTACAACGGGGAAAATATCACTAACGTGTTTAAAATACAGTAAGTTTACATTATGCCTCAGGGCAAATTCTAATGTAAGGTAAAATTATACTAACTTAAAACAGGGAAAAAAAAAATCAGTCCATTAAAAATTCTTGGCTCTAGGGAGCTCCAAAGCATTTAAAGATGTCGTTAACTAAAAATCCAAGAATGTTTAAAGTTGCATATAGTCTTGCTTTTGCTTTAATAAAGAAAATTGTCTTTTTTCACTTTTGTTACCTTTTTTCTTCAAATCTTCATCGGGCTCATACATCTCGATGATCTGCATTGCCCTTTTAGCATCGTAAAATGGGAATAAAATTTCATTCAGTCGAGGGTCTCGCTGATGCTATGATGAGAAAATAACCTCATTTAGGTTGACATTTCTCACCCTTGGGTCATAACACATCATTAAAGTACGTAATTTCTAAAATAAGATCTATTTAGAATATCACATTTATAGTTACAAAGATAGGATCTCACTGTCCTACTGTCTTTCTCCCTAAAATATACTTCAAAAAAGTCCAACTTTGGGAATGCTTTGTTGGTTTCCCTCACTGAACTAAAAAGAGAATACAGAATATATATTTTTTTCCTTCATAGGCTCAAAGATATATAAAATGGTGTGCATGTAAATTGTACTGTCTTCTAGTTCCCATAACACAGGTGAGAGATTTAGCATAAATATCTATAAAAAATGAGGTCAAAAATCTTTGGGGGAAAAAAAAGGGAAAAACAAAAGCAAAAACCAAAAAAAAAAATAAAAAACCAAAAACCCAAAAACCAAAAGCCAAAAAACAAAAACCCAGATAACTCAAATTGCTAATGTACTTAAGTGCCCAAAAAGAAAAACAATAGTAACAACAACAACAACAACAACAAAAATCCCTAAGGTTAAAACAGGCAAACATCATTTCATTTTTTTTTTTAAACATAAAGAAAAGTTTTCTCGGGCAGTCTGCAAACTTAATTTTCTTGAGTAAATGTTTATCAAATCAAATCAGTTATAATAATGATGACAATTAATCAGCACAAGGATATGTATCAATTATTGACAATATGAAAATCTGCATTTGAGTATCAGTAGTTCAGAAAGTCTTTTTCACTATGAACTAGAACTGGGTTTGCCCTGAGGAAATTCTCTGGGCAAGGCAAGTCCCTGAATGATTAAGGCACCTAGGAAGCTGGCGATGCCATTCTTTTCAAATCAGCACCTGGATGCTCATGGTACTATTGGAGACACCAGGAAAAATGCCATTTCTGCAGTTCTGTCATCCAAACTTCACAGCAGTGGCGAAAAAAGTGCAATTTACTGACTCAGCTACAGTTTTGTGTGTGTGTGTGTGCGTGTGTGTGTGCGTGTGTGTGTGTGTCTATATCTGGAGGCAGTGGGTCCATGAAACTTCCTTAATGTTCACCGTGACTTGGACCCCGGTCATTCATCAAATCTGTAACTTCCATGGCAATAATGGGAGATAAGCAGATGTGAGCAAAACCTGGTCAACAGGTAGAACCTTGGCAACATTTCTTTACCCAAATATATGCACAGACGTTGGAAAACAGTATTGAGATGTTGTTTGAGAAACAACTGTGAAAGGTTCATATGGATTTCCCTTCCCCATTTGTTGTGAAATGAAAGTTTGAAAAGTGGGTAACACAGAATGAATGCCTTTGGCCAACGCAACACGCACGACGTGATTTCCTCCAGCCCTGGTGGCCTAGCCTAGTCTGGTCCTCCCACCTCTTCGCCCAGCCAAGAGTGTTAACTCATAAGGAATCGGTATCTTTTGGTCAGTTTATCCCAATGAAGCATGCTTCTGTTGTAATCTAAGAAATTACAGCTCACAACAGCTCACGTCCATGCACGTGCAAGAGCAGAAACTTATTTTAACAACAGGCCTGGAAACCATAAAAAAACAAAACTCGTGGGGCGTGCAGAGAGAAACCGTGAGGTGGACCGTGGAAGGCCAGGCACGTGAAGGCATGCTACAATCTTATTTATGAAACAGAGGGGCATCATGCAATTCTAGAGCCTGCAGGGCCATGACAAGCACCACCCCTCCGGTGAGAAGGCATCGCTTTTAAAAACCAACAATTACACCAACGAACAGAAAACTCTTTCTAGGCACATTCCTTCTCCCGTCTCTGTAAAATATCGTCTCGGAAGAAGATGGCGATGGGAGGAAAAGTCCTTTTTAGACCCCACTGTAGTCATTTTCATGGTTGGCCTCTATGTTATGCTTCCTTATTAAAAGTAGGTTTTGTTTTTTTGTTTTTTTTGTTTTGTTTTTGATTCAAAGATATGCTCATTGGTAAGAATTCTGGACTCATGGAGATGATGGGGGCAAATCCATATGAATTTAAAAAGTGAGAGAAGGAAGAGATTAAGCTGCAGAAGAGAGAAGAGGTTATATTAGATAAAGAAGGAGGAACCCGGAAGCTCCTAGGTGCTTTTTATATGCCTATATGCCTCTTAGCCCGGTGTGACTTATAATGTGACCCACTGATGGCAGCAGTGGCAGCACCTGGCCCTAGAAGTTAAAATGCAGATTCTCAGGCCCCACGAAAGACCTACCAGATCTGATTCTCTGGGGTGGAACCCATGAATCTGTGTTTTTAACAAGCTTTCCAGGCGATTCTGCTATGTTCAAGCTTAAGAAACACTGCTCTAATATGTAAAAGTATGCATTTTTAACATATTTGTATTATCAGTAACACAAAAAAACCAACCAACCAACCCAAAGACCTACATCCTGCAAGGATAGAATGCTAAATCTTTGAGATGTCCTCCTAATTAAAGCCCATTGAAATTTAGTCACAGGGCACAATATTCACTAGAACATCCTGTCTATCAGAAGCAAAAGCCAGGAAAACCAAGCCCTAAAATGGATTTACCATCATCCCCTAATTGTACATTTGCAGCAAACAAGCATTAAAAGTGGACAGTACGAAACCGTATTTGTGTTTGCATCGTCCACCAGATAATATGATCTTTGCTTCATTAAAGCTTTCATATTTCACAAAGAAAGCATAGCACACCCTGGATAGTCCTAAGGCAAGGAAGAAGATAATAAAATTTGCATTAGAGTCACAAAACGATCATGTTTATAGGAAATAACAAAGAAGAAGAAGATCACTCCCAGGTGAACTCAGAGTAATGAGGTCGCAGAAGAGTCCCACGCAGTCGTAAGCACAGTGGGGCAAACGGTCTACAACTCTGAGGGTTCTCTGGTTTTCCGTAGGGATTTGGGGGAGTAATGAACCTACGACATTCACCTCTGGACCTCCAGAGCACTGTAAAGTGAGATCTAAAAAACTTCTGAAAGTTGGTCACAGAACTGTGCCCACGTGCATGAGGAGACAGGGGTCATCACTCCATTAGTATGTCCTTACTCTTACTGAGATAAAGCATCATCTGGCTTTAACCCAAGCAGCATTGGGAGAGACAGATGTTGACCAAAAAATATTCAGATGAGATACAAAGAAAATAAAGGAATAATTTGCAAGAGGGGGCTTACCCAAAACACTAAATACCTCCTTTTCTTCCTGTGTCTATGTATTAAAGAATAAAGATATTATAAATGGAAAGTGATCACGAGCCCTTTCCTATGCAACAGCAAAATAAAACGAACAGGTCTAGCCCTAACATGATCATATAATGTGTGTGAGGCAGGGGGGAGATCACTAGCAACAAGTAAAGCCGATTCTGGAAAATTGTGGTCTTCTCAGACCTTTTCCTTCTTTTTTCTCATCTCGATCTCTCTCTCCAGGCCTCCATGCATCTCCTGATTCTGTAGGCTGTCCCCATCAGTTATCACATTTGTGAGAGAATAAAGGTAAAACTGAAAGCAATTTGGCTTCTCATTGGAAATGTGGAAAGAGAAGTGAAATTAACTAAAGCTCAGGGACATTAATTCGCTCCACCACAGATAGCTCAGTTGGAAGCAGTATCTAACCACATGGCAACTCACAGTGTGTATATCTCTACAGGCTTCCTCCGACTCTGGTTTACTATTTTCATAAAACAGGAAGGAGAAAAGTTTCTCTTGGTCCACTGATGTGATCAAGAGGCAGAGCTGTGGCAAAATTTTAGATCTGAGTGCTGGATTTCCATGACTAAATCCATCACGGAGAATAACGGAAGGTATATGATGCTCACACTCTTCCCATCCATACTAAGCATTCCAATGAGGAACCTATGTAATTCACTAGGGCAGTGCTTCACAAACTTTAATATGCAGACAAATCACCTGGTGATGTTGTTAAATGCAGATTCCAAGTCAGTAGGTCTGGGGTGGGACCCAAGATTCTGCATTTCTAACAAGCTCCCACAGGATGCTGCTGCTGGTGGTCCATGGATCACGCTTTGAGGAGATACTGAGAAGCAGATGAGAAGAAGGTCTAAAGCTACTAATGAAAGTATCCATGGATAGGGAGGAGGTGGTACAAACCCCTACGTCGTGACCAAGAGAGTAAATGGCCAGTACTCTCTTCTCTCATTCCAGCTTCCTGAAAATACACATGAGTACACTGAACATAAAATTTTATCTAGAGAATAAAAGGATTTACAAGCTGGAAAGTGGTGGGAGGTAGCATGACTTTTTCCCTATTACTTATTCTAATGGTTAATGCTGGTATACATGTGTCTATTGATTTTTGCTCTGTCAGTCTGGTTATTCTGATGAACTCTTACTCAAAGAGTTTTTCAGTTGATAATTTTTGATAGGGTACTCAATCATCATCTTCAAACGATGAGTAGAACCTTGTCCTTTTGCATTCATGAGACTCATTTATTTTTCCTATCTTATTGCATAATATGGTGCTTCTAACACAATGTTGAATTTTGGCTTGTTGACATGATGTAGCTAAGGCATTTTGAAAACATTTGGATCTAAGCCTTTGGAGCCATAGACTCTTACACTGCAATGCCTGCTTCCTTCTTGAGTGAATGCTGTCTCCTTTCATTATGGGTTTTGAAGGTGTTCTGCCTAAAGTGTGCTTCTGATTTTGGAAAGAGGAGAAGGGCCACTGTAGGACCCAAAAGAGGGTACAAGGAGCTGGCAGAATATTTTCTAACTCTGACAAACTTCTTCAAGGGCACCTTCAGATTGCTCTCTAGTCTTTCCAATTCCATTTGCTAGGATAGAAAAGGATGAGACTTGGGCACTTAGATTAAAAACAAAGGCTGTACACATTCCTGGACAATCTTACAGTCTCTATGATCTAAAGAAATAAAGAATCACACTGATTCCATGTGTCCCACCCCAAAAGGAAAGGTGCTTCCTTACCATGAGTGAGAAGCCAAACAGAAGAAAATATAACAACACATGAGTGCTACTGGCCACTGTGATACTGATGTATAAAAGCTTATCAAATAATAAGTATTTGAAGAAAGAATTTGGATGGCAGAGCCAGGAAGCATGATCGATCATATCTTTTAAAAATTAAATGTTACGTCTTAGACTCACAAAAATGACAAGTGATGACGGGGTAGGCTTACAGAAACAACCCATAAGAGAAAAGGCATGAGATAAGAGCCCACGAATGTCGCGCCTGTCCTCAAGACTTCAGAATTTTTCTTTATTTTCATGGTGACATACATCATAAGGTCTCTGTCGTGTTTACTAGATGCCTGCACACCAGCTTCATCTCAGAGTAGGCAAAGACCTTGTTCCTAGGAAGGAGCAAACCAAAGATATAGATTTTCTCCATGCCTCCCAACAGTCTTCCCTCTTTAGCAAAAAGCAAGACTTTCCTGCCAATCTCACCAAAACTTAAGATGATCAGTGACCCAAAGTGCATGAAGAAGCTAAAGGAAATAAAAGAATACATCTTAAAAATAAAGCAGAAGAGGGGAAAGGAGTTAAAGGAAACAAAGCAAGGCAACTTAACTTCTGAGTGATAGTGACACAGGAATGTGGATAATATCTGGGTAAAGATTATGAACATAGTATTCACATGACCAAAAACTATTGGGGTGGGAAAACTTGAAATGTCTTCAAGTGAAATCAATTCTGTATTGTACTGAGAGGCTTATTAAAAGTAGAGGCATCTGTGTGATAAACGGAATAGCTAGTCTTCCCAGCACAAAGGCTATAGGCTCTGGTTATTGTAGCATTGACGGGGCGAGCCTACCAATGGGAAGTCACTGAGCCCTAACAGGGCAAGAAAACAGAAGCTCTTTGGCAAAGATGTGATTTGTCTCCCCAAACTGCCAAATCAGTCTGTCGGCTGCTGCCCATTCTTTGGGGTGACACCTCATGTCTGGTGTGATACTCTCTCTTCAAAGCTTCTCTCTTTAAATGGTATAATGGCTAAATTATACTAAAAACATTGTTTTGAAACAAAAATATATTGTCCATTCCATTAATGTGCTAGGGAAAGAAAAAAAAAAAAGGACATTTTCCATTGTGGATTAGCAAGAGCTTCAGCGGGTTTCACTGAACAGAACAATCTTTCGTACGTGTAAAGAAAAAAAAAGTTAATTTTAGTTGTCACAAAAGTTGCAACCATTATGTGTTCCAAAATATTTTTCTCTTGTGCTTCAGCAAATGTTGTCAACCAGTGCTGGTTGTTGAGTGAATCATATTCTAAATTGAGCCCTAAACTTGTTACAAAAATAAAATGTAAAAATTTGACCCGCCATCTAATTGACCTATTATGTACTATTATTTTCACCCAGGAACTCCACTGTTTTGCTCGTTGTCAAAATATTCTCTTGGAACCTACATATCGTTCTTACATGCAATCCATTAAAAGACAAAAATAAAGCTTTCCAGTCCATGCAAAGGTATGAGAAAAAGTTAGCAATGGAGAATCCGGCTACAGTGTGGGTAATTTCAATCCATTCTCTATTTAATGAGATCAATAGGAAGAGAAAAAAAAAAGTACCTTGAATATCATCTTGCAAAAACATAGACACATTTAATTAAATGAATATATTATAAAATTCACACACACACACACACACACACACACACACACACACAGAACCAGAGCTATACATCACAGCAAGGAAACCAACAAAAAAAAGCGGTGTGCAAAGCCGACGTGTAAGAAGTGCACGAACACAGGAGCAGCAGCTGATTTTTGCACCTGGTAAAGGAAGCCATATGGAAAGATCAGCAGGTCAGAAGCAAAGCGAACAGGGCAAATGGAGGCGGGCATGCAATGGGGACACTGGAGGAGGCAAGCCACTGCACACAGACTTTATGGAGTTAATGTATGAAAAAGCTTACTTCATTTAGAAAGCTCACTAATTGGTCTACCGTTAAATAATCAGTTTTGTCTCCATTGCTGAAAAGAAATTTATTAGAAAAAGTAAGTTTTTGTATATGATGCTACAGTAGGCACGATTTACATGTTGACATTTGTTGAGGATAATTCTAAACTTATCTTCTAACCCTGAAGTAGTGGTGCATTCTTAAAATGGCCAGAGACTGTTTGTAAGAACAAAAACCAAAAAACCAAAAAACAAAAAACAAAAACAAAAGCAAAAAAACCAACAACAACCCAACAACAAGAGAAAGAAAACACTCCCACTAGCTCACGGAAAATGTCTGCAATTCTTCCTTTTAGCATTATAGAAAGCCGTTACTTTAAAAACAACATGTAAGTCATCCATTTGAAATAACTAGAATGAATGAACTTTTCCACAACATAATAACATTCCAAATCAAATCTAGTTAGTTCACATAATGGGTTAATACCTAAAGGAGCAGGTTAAAATTGTAGGTAGTTAGTAAAGCCAATGCAAGGGGCGGAGGGGAGATCGTTCCAGATGCTGCCATTAATTTTTGTAAAAGTTTCTCAAAAACTCAGAGTGAACTTTTACAGTGATAAGCTACGGGGTGAAAAATGGAACCCTAGCTACATAATCCTGGAGACTCTCAACATACTATATTCAAACATTACCACAAAAAAATGTTTTAAAAGTCTAAAGGGACAAGAACGTGACATTTTCTCAGAAGCAGAACTTACATTTTTTTAAAAAGATCCTCTATATCTGTCCGAGGACAAATTTTTTGTGTCAGTTCATAGAACTTTTCATAAGTAAATGCCGCAGGCTCAATTTCGTCGTTCTGTAAAGAACAAAAGAGTGTCATAACTCATGCAACCTCTTTCTCCTTGGAGGGAAGGAATCTACAGGATCATGAAGCAAAGCAAATGACCACCTGGGATCCCAGAGCCCCTATCTTTGAGTCTTACTGAAAGAAGCCAGAAGGCCAATCCCGGCTGTGACCAGGCCATCCTGACAGCACCCTCCGTGTGTAAACGGGTGTTTCCGGTGACCAAGGGCGGCCGTAACTTGTGTGTTCAAACACTCACTGACTACAGCTGGGCTCGCTCTGAGAAACACTCCATAAAACAAACATAAATGAATATTTCCTCTTTCTCTCTTTGACAGGGAAAAGTAAGTGCCTGCCTAAAGGATGCTGAATAAATCCAACCTAGTGATTACTTGGGCTTATCTTGCGAATTTTCACAAGACCCCATGAAGGAGCTCAGGACAACCACGTAAAATTTTACTTCTCAATACTGAAGTTTGTATTTCCGATTGGATTTGTTAAAGTAGTTACAGGCTTAAGTCTTTCTTGCAGTCCATAAATTAATTTCAATTATTCTAAATCCAAAGGGCCAGGAACGCAAATGGTTTGTGGAGGGAGGGGTGCTTTATAAAATACCCTACAGCCATCTTGAAGCACTGGTTCTATTAGTCAGTTCAGTCTGACATTGTGCTTAGTCAAGGCAATGTGGATGGGCCTCTCTAAGAAGCTTTCCAGGGGCGCCTGGGTGGCTCAGTTGGTTGGGCACCCAACTCTTGACTTCTGCTTGGATCATGATCTCAGGGTCTTAGGATGGAGCCCAGCATCTGGTTTTGCGTTGGGCATGAAGCCTGCTTGAGATTCTCTCTCCCTCTGTGTGCCACCCCCCTCCCTACTCTCTGTCTCTCAAAAAATGAGTTTTCCAGAAGCTGTATGAAAAAGCAGCCTGGCTGTCGTTTCCTTTTCTTAATAAAACTGATAAAAACATTTTCAAGTACACTATTTGAATTTGAAAACATTTAGTTTAAAATGCCCAGAAAACAAAAGGCAGGCAGGCAGGCAGAAGGGAAAGCTACCTGTACTTTACATGACTGAAACCAGTTTTGAATCTAAATAGCGTCAGTTGAACATAAATCAGCTGGCTTATTACATATGAGAACATAAACAGACAAAATCATTTTAGAAACACATGGTTAAATGAATAAATACCTTTCCACTGGGAAGACCTAATTCCTTGAGTGCTTGAAAGATCACTTTTTCTGTTTTCCCCGATGCAAAGGTTCTAGTAATACTAGGGCAGAAAAGAAAGGGGGGAAGAAAAAGTCAAATTATTGTTAATTCTGTTTTCTGTGAGGCAAAAATCCAAGCAATACTCAGGACTGTAGGATGGCAGGGGGAGAGGGGGAAGGAAAAATACACTTAGTTTTCATTTCTAGGTATTTTTCACTTCCCTAACTAGCTCCCACAATATCCCTCTGGTTACACTCACGAGGCAACGTGATTCTCAGAGGGGTGTCCCCCTGGGTGTCCCAAGAAGCCCTGGACATACATACTGTTGGACCGAAACAATGACAAATGTTGGTCCTACCGAATAACTTTCTCAGGAAAAAGGAATGTGGCAGATGGAATAGGTCTAGAATAAAACTCATGTTGATGCTATCCAGGCTTGGGGGGAGAAACAGTCTCCTCTGAATTTCAGCCTCTGCCTGGGATGGCCCTTATACTTTGCTTTCATACTTACTACAGCTGAGATGCACTATCAGGTGAGTTTTTCATTTTTTTTTAACATTTTATTTATTTAAGAAAGAGGGGGAGAGCATGAGCGGGGGTGGGGAGGGGCAAAAGCAGAGAGAGAAGCAGACTCTGTGCTGAGCCAGGAACTCCCCAACAAGGCTCGATCCCAGGACCCTGAGATCAAGACCTGAGCCGAAGTCAGATGCTTAACGGACTGAGCTACCCAGGTGTCCTTACATTTTTTTAAGCTAAGTAAGCACCCTTGAGCTACTCCAAAATGCCAGCTGCCTCAAAGATTAGGAACTTTACTGAGAAAGGGATAGGTGTGGTGGGGGGGTGGGGGGGACAGGGGAACACTCCTTCAGTGTTTCAGTAGAATCTTGGTACTGCCCTAATGCGTGGTATTTCTGAATAATGGTGCCGCCCTTTATCCTGTATGGTATACATCGAGGCTAGTAAAATGGGTAACACCTTAATGAGCCTGTTTGTCTTCTGATAAATACACTTGCGACACTCAGAATGACCTATTGAGGGGTGGAGCCGGTACCCTAGAATCCAAGTTTGGCTGAGCTGTGCCTTAGCCAACCAACGGAGTCTTCATTCATTCTGTGGCTGGAAGCCTGGGGAATCTGTCACTCTAATAACTGAAACTCTAATTTCGCCAAGTCCAGCCTTGACATGAGGGTAGAGCTGTTTCGTGTGGCAAGCTTGGCTTTGGAAAGCCTCCTCTGTGAGCACAGGGGGGATTTGTAAGAGCACCTCCCCACGCCCAACCCTGTCACACACTCCGCCATCCACGTTAAGTGGAAGTCGGCTCCCAATGTAAGCATGGAGAGCCAAATATTCTGGATGAGTAGGCGAGAGCACCTCTTCAAGTGCCCAGTACAGCTTCCCAAAATAGATTGGGGAGAGCTAACTTTAGGTAAAGGAATTGTTATGTGTTCATTCAAAGCTTTATTGTTTCAAACTTGGTCCAAGAATACTTCGAGAAGTTCATTTTTAAGAATGGACACAGCGGCACTCGGCTCCAAGGAGGCCCACGGATTCTCTTTAACACATCTACAGACATGGTAGAGCGTACATATTTGACATCGAGTAACCTGGTTTCTAGTGTAGACGGTGTTATGTCCACACTTTCCCACTTCTCTAGAGTTCATGGAATTTGGATACATTAAATTAGGTTGAGAAGCAATTTAGCTGACCTTTGTAAAATAGGGGAAAGTAGCTATTCAATATTCTCTCTCTCTCTCTTTTTTTTCCATTTAATTATGTATTAATGTGAGAGCCAAAGGAGCCAGCATCTTCACAATCGGTGTGCCTGCAGGAGAAAATGCTCAACCTCGCTATCTCAGGGGTATCTTGGCGAACTTGAGCCTTGGTTAGGTTCGGATAGGCATGAACAAGGAGATGAGAACTGATCAACGTGGCCATGAATGTAGCTGGCACAGGGCCTGAGCCTTTCCAGCGAAACAGAACTGGGTGTGGGGTCGAGGGACGGAAGGGCAGGAAGGAAGGGGAGAGTGTACAGGAATAGAATCTTTTGGCTAGGACTTGCTGAAATGCCAAGAAATAAATAGGAAGCAGAATAAGAACGTCTCGCAGGAGGAGGAGATCCAAGCATATGTACTTGGGGTGGGGGTGGGGGGGGACAGATAAAAAGATTGAGAGAGAAAGAAAAAAAACAGGGCGTCCGGTGCCAGGAGAGTGGAAAATCCATGTAGGAATATATTAGTGAGGCAAAGTCAGAGCCCAACAACACAACTGTGCAAAAACTAGAGGCAAGAGGTGGCCATGTGGCTAGAGGGGCTTGTTCTCTGCCCCCCTTTCCTGAGGGGGCAATGTCACCAAGAATTTTCCCACCTCATTCAAAAAGAAACCAAACCCAGGATGGAAAATAGGAGCAAGGAAGTTGAATAAGAGTAAGACCATTCCCCCTGTCTATCTAATAAAGGGCCTTTATGGCCTTAGCTCCAGAGAGCTATCGGACAGCTTGGGCCTCAAAATGGATTCCCTCAGGGGTAAGGCAGGTTAGGGTGCAAAGGTGAATTCTTTGAGTTTCCAGTTACATTAGAGGCCCAGGAGAATGTCCTTTAGCAGGGTCCTGAGAGAAAGGCCATTTTTTTTTTTTTAAGATTTTATTTATTTATTTGACAGACAGAAATCACAAGTAGGCAGAGAGGCAGGCAGAGAGAGAGAGGAGGAAGCAGGCTCCCCGCTAAGCAGAAAGCCCTATGCGGGGCTCGATCCCAGGACCCTGGGATCATGACCTGAGCTGAAGGCAGAGGCTTTAACCCACTGAGCCACCCAGGCTTCCTGAGAGAAATGCTTTTATCAAAGCCTAGGGACATTTTAGATACCGTCATAGGCATTTGGTGGGAGAGTATTTATCAAGAACTGTGACTGATTCAACCCCTGCTATACACCCCCATGCCCACAAAGTACAAGTTAGGCTTTATGGCTAACAGGTACTCAGTGAGTTTTTGTTGAGTGAAAATAAACCACCTTCCCCAAAGGAAATGCTACAAAAGCAAATACGCTTGAGTGGTGCCCAGTCCTATTAGAGTTCTGGTTCAATTCCATGTTCCAGCAGACTTTACAGGTGACTAAGACAGCAATGATTCTAGAAACCAAGTGAATCACACTCTTTCCTTGCCCTTGATGGGCCTACAATTCACTGAGTGGTTTTAACACCATCTTTGGAAACATTCAGGGAGGGCTCATGTAGTCAAGCCTCAGTAGAATCCTACCCCCTTCACAGACAAGCTAAGCCTTTGGGACATAGATGGATTACACAGGAGCTGGGCTGCCATGACCATACTGGAAGCTCTCAGCCCTCTTTAACACAACAGTCTCCTTTAAGACTACTTCCAGCCAGAGCCCACAATTATTGTCTGGCTACCATTTCCCGACTCTCTAGCCATTGGTTCCAACTCCAGGTTACAAGGAATAGAAAATGGCAAGGAAAAGAGTGACTTTCAAAGCCTTGGTCTAGGTGGGACGATACTGAGTGCAAGTTCGTAAGTTTGAGAGAAAGACTACGTAAGTTCATATACAGGAGGGTAAAAAGAGAGGGAGATAAAGAGTAAGACTTTCTTCATTAATCATTTGGGCAACGTCCTGGATATTAAATTTCAGCTTATACTCAAGAGCAGGGGCCATTCCCAAGCTATGGAATAACTACGAAGCCAGATCCCTTCTAACAATATGTACACTATACTAATAGTTTCCATCTTCAGAACTCCAGAATGAAAGCGATGAAGTTGACATTTTAAAAGTGTTTACTCTTCATATCCATTAAAACATTCAGAACAACTTCCACCTAGCCCTTGGCAGCTCATCCACCAGGAGACTCAACCGCTTTTGTCTGGCTTGGTGTCAATTCTCCATCGACTCTGAACAAACGGCCCCTGAGTCACAGATGTCTTGTGTCAAACACCTGTTAATGCTGGCAGGCACCAAAGGGGTCATGTCAAAGCGAGCTAAAGAAAATGACAAAAGGATGGTAATAATTTTGGATGCGAACATACCCATAAAGATCTTTGAACCATAAAAAAACTTCCAAGTTTGTCTAACAATGGCTTGATTAGAAGGATACATATAAATGAAACCAGAATTGCTACTTAGAAGTGCTTTGATTGCAATCTATGTCTTCTACTTTGTAGAACCATTTCCTGAGCCTTATCTTGGAAGAAAAAGCAGGATGGTAAGGTATGTAAAAACAGATCCAACCTAAATTTCTGTTATCCATAGTGCTGTCTGTGCAAAGTTTGGACTTATTACTTCAATATAGATTTTAAAGAAAAAAGGTACTATATGTTGGTCAGTAGCTGTAGAATGCTGGGATATATGAAAATAATTGTCCTGCTGTTGCTCAACAGAGCAAAGGATTTGAAAAAAAAAAAAAAAAAGAATCAGTGTAAAGTATCTTTGCCAACAATTATCAGTCAAGGGTGCTAGCAGGGCATTTTTTAAAAAAAAAATTTATTTATTTATTTGACAGAGAAAGACTCAGCAAGAGAGGGAACACAAGCAGGGGGAGTGAGAGAGGGAGAAGAAGGCTTCCCGCTGAGCAGGGAGCCAAATGTGGGGCTCGATCCCAGGACCCTGGGATCATGACCTGAGCCAAAGGCAGATGCTTAATGACTGAACCACCCAGGCACCCCCATCCTTTTCTTCCTTAAGATTCATTTATTTATTTTATCTCTAAGATCAAGCGCTTAAGCCGGGGGCGGGGGTGGGTGGGGAGAAGAAGGGCAGAGGGAGAGGGAAAGAGAATTTTAAGTAGCCTCCACGCTCAGCACAGAGCCCCACACAGGGCCTGATCTCCCTGAGATCAGGACCTGAGCCAAAATCAAGAGTCGGATGCTTAAGTGACTGAGCCATCCAGATGCCCCTGTTTCCTTCATGCTTGATTCCATTACCTTGGGCAGAGCAAGGGGGAAAAGTGACAGCTCTGAAGAGTGTGTGGTAGCAGGGAGAGTACACTTAGAGACCAAATGGCAAGAAGCCAAAGGTGTCCATGTGCCCCGCCCACCAGAGGAAGAACAAGGTCCAAACAGAGAAGCATCACGTCTCCACACAGTGGAGACACAGTCTACACACTTCCACTACAATACAATTTACAATAAAAACTTCTTTCATTTTAGCTAATAGTTGCTCAGTGTAAGTAGATGAAAGACATTAAAATCCTAAAAAAACTTGAAAATTAAAAAAATACATCTTCAGATGTTCTTTGTCGAAGTAGAGTTAATGCTACCTATTCTGAGGAAAAATGCAAATTTACATGCACAAATGACTTTTACAAACTGAACACAGCATTTGATGGAGTGATTTAAACCAACCTTCCAGAAATATCTTTAGTGAAAGCGATTAACAAGCACTTGTGGTGGGCTCTGTCTTTGGTCTGGTATCACAAGGGTTGGCCCAGGGTATGGAACCCAGACAGAAATGACTGACTTACCTCCTAACTGGAATTTTACCATTCGTGTTGGTCATAAACGCCAATTTCATCCAGCTGGAAAACAACCGTGACAGCACTGTTTCAATGTTTCCTAGGAGGAACACTTCAATCCAGCTAAGAACTTTTAAAGAAAGTTCATTCAAACAAAGAACATTTATTCTGAAAACCAGAGACAGTATAATACACTGTGAGATCAATTTATGGTTGTCAGGATTGGCCAATACAGAAACCTCGGTTAAATCTGAATTTCAGAAAACAACCATTTTTTTTTTTTTACAAGTATGTGCCAAATACTGCCCAGGATATGCTTATACTCAAAAATTATTACTTTATTGGAAATTTAAATGTCACTCGGAGTCCCGTATTTTTCCCAGCAACCCTAGATGAATTAGAAATTTGGGTGCTTGCACTGAGCATAACAAATTTGCAACTGGTACTCTTAAAGCACCTGCCAAAGGGACCAAAAGTGAGGGTGAAGGTAGCCTGAGGGCTGCCCTCTATTCCTCCTGCTGGACAGTCCAAGGATTCACACCTTTGGTGCTGGGCCTGTTTGCGAGTGCAGGCTTATTCCTATAATTTCTTAGTATAGTTCCCTTCTGTACCTACAGCTGCCAGCCCATGGCCTCTTGATGGCAGGGAGCCTGCTTCCTCCCTAAATTCCTGATTTTTAAACAGGCTGACTTGGGCTTTGGCTGGTCTTTCGACTTGAGTAACTTTCACTTCACTCTAATGGAATAACTTTGGAAGGGTTAAAAATCTACAACTGTGATCTCTCTCTGGATTTTGGATTCTGTGAGCTGGGGTAAGGCCCGCACGTTTAGATCCCTGACTGAGTGCTGAACAGTCCTTGGGGCCAGTGCTCCTTTCTGACACTAGAAAAGGGAGCTCTTGGAAGTGCTTCTCTTGGCCGCACTCCCCAGTTCTCAGTCTCACACAACAGAGGCTCCAGCTACAATGGCACCCAACTATGGCCTGGGGCATGGAGAAATCTTTACCAGCACTCAGTCTGGGCCTAGGACCCAGAAGACAGTGGAGTTCCAGCACCTTCCTGCCAGCAACCATTCCTTTCTTATCAGTTTGGGCCATGGGTTGATCACACGTGCCCTGCCAAGTGGCATGAAGAGTCCAGGTGTGTGTCGGGAACTTTTTCTCCATGTCGGGAGCATAGAGGGGAAGACAAGGATGATGTCGCCTGGCCATATATTAAGCCTTCATGTCCTAAACCGACCTTTTCCTTTTTAACATCCAAGAACAAAGAGTGATGTAAATAAAACTCACTGTTTCTTGAGGCAGGTCATTGGACTGACATTGTTGGCCCTGAAGTTGTGTATGATCGATCTCAGTCCTTCTACCCATTGCTGAAAGAGAGAGAAAAAGCATTCCTGGTGAGCAAAATCCACAGGAACTGAAAATGGTGGTTTTTATTAGACAGCCTGTATCCACTCAGTATAAGAATAATGTAAATTCTTCTTTTATCTCCTCCCTGCCACAGAGCAATCTTCATTTTGCATGCCATACTTTATTCTTTAATAAACAGCTTTCATTCTTTCCATGAAGATAAATGTAACATCTAGAGCATCATTAAACACTGGGTTGTCACAAAGGAACGCTGCCCACTGATTGACTTGTTAAACCTTCTATTTCCAGCCTGTTTAAATAGAAATCCTTTCTCAGCCACTGGCAATCTTCATTATTTCCAAGCAACGTTATACAACACATGATGACATATTTAGCTATTCCCATTTTTAGAGGATGAATGCATTTGGGGTTCATCAATTTTATCGTGGGATTCTATTTCAATCTAAGAATTTGGTACATAGCTTACCTGTCTGTGTTGTCCAGCAGAGCCTTAAAAAGGAAAGCATGCACGGATTGCCGGGGAATCCAGCGCAAACAGCAAAGGGCTTACATAATTTCTGTATAAGGGCTTGGACCTCAGTTTTAGTTCATAACATCACTCCATGGATTTACAAGGAAACGTGAAGGAAGACTGTACATGGCAGTAAAGGAATTTGGGTCTCGTAAGGACATTCTATTAGAAAATGTTGGCCTATGAATTAAGGCCAACTCTGCCCTTGAGTCCAATAACTGATACCAATGAATGCCACACCAAGTTGCTAAAATAAAGAACCACACCCTTGGAAACATGTTTTGCAGCAAATTGATACTGGGGGGTGGAAACAGAGCAGAGGCCTCCACAAAAGCCAGTATCTTACCTTCTTTGGTTTATAGTCTGACTGCTGTAGCTCTGTGCTGAGGAAGGGAACATATTTGGGGATAGAGAGTAGTAAAGCCATATAGCCTACCTGCACTGTCCACTAGGCACATGTGACTGTTTAAATGGAAACTGAATAAAGGTATAGTTCGGTGTCTCCATTTCACTCATCACATATCAAGAGCTCGAAAGCCAACATGGGGCCAGAGGCTTAACCTGCTGAGCCACCCAGGCGCCCCAATATCACCAGGTTTTTTAACGTGGACTAGTGATTTAGTCCTTGCAAGGGCCAGAGGTAAAGACTGAGTTCTGTAACGTTTGTGTGGTTTTAATTCACTGTGATAAAATGCAAGTGACATTAAATTGATCGTCAGAACCATTTTTCAGTGAACAGTTCCATGGCATTAAATAATATTCACAATGTTGTGCAACCTTCACCACCATCCATCTCCAGAACTCTTTTCTTCTTGCAAAACTGAAACTCTGTCTCCATTACACAGCTCCCTATTTTCTTCTCCGTCCCTAACCCTGACAACCACCATTCTATTTTCTGTCTCTATGAATCTGCCCTTCCTAGGTTCTTCATAAAAACGAATCATAGGGCGCCTGGGTGGCTCAGTGGGTTAAGCCTCTGCCTTCGGCTCGGGTCATGATCCCAGGGTCCTGGGATCGAGCCCCACATCGGGCTCTCTGCTCAGCGGGGAGCCTGCTTCCTCCTCTCTCTCTGCCTGCCTCTCTGCCTGCTTATGATCTCTGTCAAATAAATAAATAAAATCTTAAAAAAAAAAAAAAAAAACGAATCATAGAGTATTTGCTCTTTGACCAAGTGGACTGGTATAATGTCCTCAAGGCTCAGTCAGTTCACAGCATGTGTCAGACTTTCCTTCTTTGTAAAGGCTGAATAATATTCCGTTGGCTGTGTAGACCATTTTGGCTTCTTCATTCATCTATTGATGGACACCTGGGTTGCTACCGTGATTAATGGTGGCTATTGGAATAGATGCTTCTGTGAACACAGGTGTACCAATATCTCTTCAAGTGCCTGCCTTCAGTTCTTTTGGGTATATACTCTGAGGCAGAATTGCTGGATCCTATGGTAATTCTGTTTCTTTTTTTTTGCGGAACCACCACGCTGATTCCCATGGCAGCCGTGTCATTTTCTATTCCCGCCAACAGTGCATGTGGGTTCCAATTTCTTCACGTCCTTATCGACACCTGCTTTGTTTTGTTTTTCCTGTTTTTTTCATTATGAGAATAGTCATCCTAACGGGTAGGAGTCTAATGGAGAGTTCTGGCTTTCCTCTTTATGCTCCAGTCATACCTAACAGTTTTCTGAAGGAGGACTTAGGAGCCAAAAGAGGTCAGTTTCCTTCCAAAACTAGAAAAGGCCATTTCCTGAGGACCATAAATAGCACTGAAAGCCTCATGATGGTGACACCAGGATTGTGAGAGAGGAGGAAGAAAGGCAATAGTAGAATTAAAGAAATGCCTTATTATTTTCATCATCAGGCTTTACTTCCTCTGTCAGGCTAAATATGGGACTATAACTCCCTGGGGACCATCAAATAGCCTGCTGTTGGTCTAACAAACCACAGGCTCACACAGTTTCCCAAGAGGAGACAGAAAAACGTAAATAACTAGGTTGGCATTCACTGGGTAGCATTTTCTCAACCTGAAGGCTTGTTACATGTCCCAAAACACAAAACAGAGTCCATGGTTTCCTAGGGCAAAGAACTGGGCAATTTCTGAGACTGTTCACTGGCTTTTTTCTGAGCATCTTAATTTAGTTGTTCCTAAAAATAAATTACAGAGATACCAGACTTTGAGGAGGTTTAAACAACTCATCCATCTTTTGAAAATGTAATGCTGGTAAAGAAATCTTGTTTATTGTGACAGAAAGGTCTCCGGGAGTGACCTTTAAGGTCACTACTCCAGGGACAGTATTCATGCTTTAGTTAGTAGGAAATGCCACTAGAATCCTCCTAGGCCCTAAAGGGCACCAGGGTCGGGGAGATTGTGGCTTCTTCTCTTTGTGATGATGAAGTGAGGATCAAGGGCCTTGCCCAAGATCACAGAGCAGCTGGCACGGGGCTGAGAGGCAGTCAGAAGTCTGTTGTCTGCCCGTCCTTAGGGCTGGTTCACACTTCTCCCTCCATGACATGGAAAAGTCCCATCAAGCCATTCCTTTTCTCTACCGTCTCCCAGGTGATGGACACCTAGCATATTAAGGTCAAGAGACCTTAGGAAATAATGTTCAGTGGTTTGTTTTGCTGTTTGTAACAAAGTAGATGAAATGCCAGCAGGTGTCAGTAGAGCCCTAGAGTTTAGCGGAAAAGTTGCACCCGGGGTGAACTGGATACAAAGAAACTTCGTTGAATGTTTCTAGATGAACAGAAGAAAAAATAAAACAAAAAACTATGACTTAGGTATGTTTCCCTGAATTGCTGGAAATAAGCACATACATTGACAGTCTATGTAATGCCCCAAAAGGTGCAACTTCAAGCCCAGGACTGCATGTTTCTAGAAGGATCATTCCCTGACACATGTTGCGCACGCTCACTGGCTCAAGGGTGACACGCTGGTGATAGGATTCCTGCTACGCTGGGTGCTTCCCTCTGGCCCGGCCATGCTGAGTGGGCCCATGCAGCCTGGAGGCAGGAAAACCAGCCTAAGGGATTCACTGGATTCAGACGTCCAAATCAGCAGTTTCTCCCCGTTCCCACCAGGTTGTTCTCTTCATGTCTTCGATCTTTTCTAATAACTTAAAGCTTATTTCAGCCCATCTTAGGAGAAAGGCAAGAAAGGTCCTTTCAGGGACTCTTGTGGGCTTGGATGGATGGCTAGGAGAAAAGGAGGGAGGAAGAGAAGCTGCCTCTCATTTCCTCCTAGGGACTTAGAACCTCCCCTCTGGGACTCCTTGTTCTCGCCATACAGGCCTGCGTCCATTTTCCAGGCAAAGGGCATGGCCTCGCCCTTAGCGGTCTCCTTTGCAACCCTCCCCCGCCCCCGCCGGGGGGGCACTGGACTGTCAAAGACAAAACAATCCTGTTCCCACTGAAAAAAGCAGCTGAAGGGCATAGACATAACAAAACGAAACCAAAAAATTATGAATTTTTACAGGGTGTATACCTCCCTTTTCCCTTTAAAAATATTTGATAGGTTTTTTTGTTTGTTTGCTTTTTTAAAGGTTAGGGAACCAGTATTCAAATGTCCTTTGCAAAAGAATGTAAAGCAAGAAAGTATACAGCAAAAAGTAAACATCACCTCAGATTCCTACTGACGTCAAGAGTGAGCCACTGACAACATTTTGGTATTTGAACTCTAAGCCTTTTTTTTTTTTTATGTACATATAGCTTTGTCATCCTAAAATAACTAGTCCCATTACTTGCTAGTCCGTACCACGTCAGGTAGAGTTGATGTTCTTTTAACTCCATCTTAGCTCTAGGTTTTTTTCCAGAAGCGTCCTTTTCAGTCTTTAGTCAAAACAGCATGTTGTCAAAGTAAAAAAATAACACAGACCCTGTGACACTCTCCAAGTGTGCTATGTGATTTTTTTTTCTCCAAAGGGAACACTCAGTGGCACCCCCCTTCATCCTTTGGTGGGTGATTCTTCGCTCTCAAAGAGGAGGCTACTGGTGGAAGTGGCAGAGGCATCTAAACTAAGTCTGCTCCAAGTTAACTACAGACTTGTTACTCGGGGTGTAGTCCAGGACAACAGCGTCACTTGGGAATCATTAAAAGGCAAAACAGTAGGCCCTATCTATGAAACCTGTCTCTAGGACTGGGGAAGAGAAACCTGTGTTGAAATGAGCTTTCCAAATGGCTCTTTTGCAAATCTGCATATAAAGGCACCGTTCTGAACCCAAGCCACTCAGACAAAAGGTTGGCTCCTAGACCAATACCATCAGCATGTCCAGGTTGCTCGTTAGAACCACAAAATCTTAGGTCTCATCCCACCGAGACCCACTGGGTCAGAATCCTCCTTTAATAAGATCCCAGGGGCACGTGTGTGCACACCCCAGCTTGAGAAGCACAGATCTAGAAGAGCCCCCCACCCCACACACACACCTGGAGTATCTACTTCTGTTGCCCACCTAGGAAGATCCAGGTTTCATTTCCTATGGGAGATGATGGTTTCCTACA